CGGGGGGCTCAGTGTCTGACAACATGGCCACACTGAAATCTCAGCCCTCTGGACGTGACTTTATTGTCAGCAGTATCCAGAGCTGGAAATCTCCCATGAACACTTTTGTATTTCATCCTTAGGAAAACACTTGTAAATCTTTACTTTTTAAAAGTTTCTCTAACCCCAAGTAAATGACCTAATTTGTTTCTTAATAACAGGGAGGAAGAATATGTTTAAACCCTGCCTGCTGATGATGCAGTTTGGTAGGGAAGGAGGTGTTTTCAGTTCTAAAACAAAACAATAAGCAGTGGTGATCCTGAAGTGATGATGGACACAAGTCTCTCATGTCTGCATTCAGAGCAACAATGAAACCCTCAGGGGTCCAGGAACAAGGAGAGATGTGCATCTTCATCTGTGCTTACCTGCTCACTGGATGACTTGTTTGGTACACAAGTTTAATCCACTGGGTCCACACAAGGCCTCCAGATTATGGGTAACTGCCCTCAAACCAGCTCATCTGCACTTGCAAATAAACCATGCCCACTTCTTCAGCTTCACTGATTTCAGTAGCACAGATAAATATGAGCAATCGAAGAGTTATATGTGCACAGCACAGAGTGAACTGTTGCTTTCAGTTGATGAGAAAATGAAACAACTCCTGAAGCTCCATTACAATTCAAATACTTTTGACAGAAAAATGCTTAGACCATCACAGATGACAAAAGGCTGTATCAGGGACTAGTTTGGGCAAGGCTTGGATTTTCTTAAAACAATGATCAATCAGTTCCCCAGCAAAGATAGGAACACTGAAGGTCTGTTTATTGCTTCCTTTGTCTGCTACAGTCTTGTAAAGATTTCAAACTGTAATCTTTGGCTTGCTATGTCAGAGAAAATCCCACAAACAGACACTAAAATAATAGGCAATCGTGTGCTGCTCCCTTTTATGAGCACTGTGCCTCACCCACTTGGTTATTCACACATGCAGCAGTGAGAACTAGGACACCCATCTCACCTGCCTCTTACATTAACTTTTGTAATGGCAAATTGCAGTGCCCCTCACCTACAACAAAGCCAGGCAGTTTTTCTTTTCAAGGCGGGTACCTTGAAAATGGAAGGGAAAATATGGGGTACTCTAAGCAAGCCCGAGATGTAAAGCAGAAAGGCAACAAAAATTTACTTTTGCTTTAGCTTTATGCTGATGTCATTCCAGAGACTGCACTGTTAGTTACTGGACATCTACACCATCATGAGAGCAGAATCCATCTCCCAAGGACAGCTCGCAGTAAACTGGTTTTACTCCAGGAATCTGGTCTGTAAAGCCCTTCCCTTGATATATTTACATGGCTATAAGCAAGTCAGAACATTTTTCCAAGGAGTGAATAGCAGCCAGCAAAAACACAGCCCTAGGCTCATGCTGAAGTGGGTAGGATTTAAAAATGTCTGCAGCAGTTAGTGGTTAGGCACACAAAAACACCCCACCCTTCAGCCCCAGGCGAGAGGGAATATGCCGACAGTGCAGAGTGTACTTCATGCGTCAGGATCCATCACTTGGCTTCGAACAAGATCAACAGATTTCAGGAGAACGAGAGAAGGGGATAATGCAGATGTGCCCTAAGGTGCAATATGTTGACTAACATCCCAGTGACTGAGTGGCAACGTTAATGAGAAAAGGCCTAAACTATTGCACCAGCAAACTGTTAAATGGAAGTTTTGGGATGCTCCTGGAACTCTGGAAGAGAAGAACCCATAAAGGTCAAACCAGAGTCTCTAAACCCAAAGCCAGTATCCTTTAATATTACTTTCCAATTTGGCTTTTCTACTACAGGGGATGCCCATAGGGGAGTTATAACATGTCCTCGTCCCATCAGTGCCACTGTGTTAGCACTAGTGCTCTTCTGGAGTTACACAGATAATATCCTTCAATTGTGCAGACAAACCGGAGTACACTTGGAAAAGAAAATTATCTGATCACTTAAAACGTCATCACAGAAATACCAAAGAAAATAAAACCAGGAAGCACATTTTCCTACTGGTTTCTTGGGAAAACAAGTTTCTCTGAAGGGAAGAAGCATGTTCAGCAAACAGAGCTCAATAATTTTATTGCCCAGTGCACAATTTCCTATGCATTTTTTTTCTTGTGTTTTACTTGCCCCAAAACTATTCTGATCACAGAAGGAATAAAAGAAATAAAACCATGACATTAAAAGGGCTTAATAAAGACTGTACTGCAATTAATGTGCTACTGTTGCACATACTGATGAACTTAACTAAACAGCATGAGAAACACTCCACAGTGTGCCATAAACATCCCATATCAATAACACATGGATTATCTGTTTTTCTCAAGGGAAGCAGATGTGCAGTTTTTGAGAGGAAGGTTTTAGTCTGACTGGTTTGCCATCATTAAGTTGAGGATAACATACTCTCCATCACTATTGGGTTTCTGCAATAAAAGTACTGGACAGTCACCTGATGACAGCCTAATTCCCAGCTCCATCAGGGGCCTCCAGAAGGGTCTTAAGCATGTCATGTTTTTGTAGTACTTTGTGTTAATATCAAGTAAATTCATAAGTAAATGTGGTAAACACAGCTAAACACGAAACATCAACCTGAACAGTATCTTTTATTTGGGTGATTTATGAGCGATTACCCATCAGCAAATACTGATGATAATATTTCCCTTTCTCTACTCTTTTTGTAGTACACTAAACTCATAAATCCAACATATGGCACCGTCTTTCCATATTCACAGTCCCAAACAACTGTGAATTGTTTGTGATTGTGCCCCAATCCCACTTGGGGTGGGGCACATGGGCGTTGCTCTAATTAAGAGCCATGATAATGCACAGGATGACTTTTTCATGTGCTATGTTCCTGTAAAATCTTACTGGAATCTTGCCTGGCAAATGATCTAAAATCTCAAACTTTCTGTTGTTCTTGTGCAACTCATCTGTTAACATGTCTGTACAACAGAGCATGAGTAATTTAAAGCAGGGACCATACTTGAGACTGAAGGAAATACCCTGTGAACTTGGAGACATGCCATCTCAAAGCTCCAGAGTATCTGAGATCCGACACAGTTGATAAATCTGCAGCAGAAGTTCTATTAGCACTTTTACTGTTGCACCCAGGAGTCCATTTTTAACTCATCAAAAAATTAAAATATTAATGACATTAAATTAGCTGCAGGTCTTAAAAAAATAAATAAGCTGCTGGTTTAAAAAATGCCTCCAAACTGCCTCAACACTTGAGGTATCATGCCAGGTTTTTTTGCTAAATGGTTACAAAAGATTGTACAACTTAGTTATGTAATCTAAATTCCCACATTTGCTACTGAAAATATTCTTTCTAAATCAATTTCACTGACAGATAAAATCTTATACAAGGAGTGACCTAAGAGCCTCAGGTTCTCAGATTTCCCAAAACAACTTGGTCTAGATGGGCTTTGAATGTTTTGATACGTTTTACTGCAGGAGAGTAAAAGGTTGCTATCATCCCTATCAAATCCTACTTGAAGTGAGTGAATCTATGTATGCTTGTGGTCAAAAGCACAGCAACTGCTAATGTGTTACACCTACATTTGGTGCTTACTCACCACACAGTTCAAGATTGTCTCTGATCTCAATACAGATGAGAGTTACACAAGGTGAAGAGAAAATTGAGCATCCTCATCTGTAGCTGTGAGGAGGAACCAGGCAGGAAATTAATGCATTTCTGATACACAAGCCAAGGGCATGATCCAGTGAGGGCATGTGGGTGCCTGTACCCCATGTGCAGCTCCCAGCACAGCTGCGTGAGGTGTCCATGGGCAGCTTGGGCCAGTCTGGCTGTGGGCAGTGCTGGAGGAACCACTGGTACCTCATCCCTGCGGGCTGGGAGCTGTCCCTGTTATGGCTTCCACAGCTCCTTTTGTCAGTCCTGACAGTCATATTGGAAAAACGTTGTGTACAAACCAGTTTAAAGAAACATAAATCCACATGGGGAAGCCAGGTGTGCAGCATGGAAGGGATGTTTGCTGATAAAGACAGGAAAATCATGTTTGATTCAGCAGTGCCTTCGAGCGCCAGGGCACTCTGCAATCCTGAACTGCAGGATGCAGCCACAGCTGGGGCTGCTCCTTGTCACTGTCCCAATCTCCTTGCCTGTTTCTCCGGTCAAGTTTCTTCATTTTCACTTGTCCTTCCTCACAACCAAGACAGCACTGCTCAGGTCCTGCTCCTCAGGTACAGATTTTCCCCTTCTGTGAGGAGACAGTGCCTGTGACAAAGGCAATGGTAGCTTGAGGTGGAGAGTTGTGGTTCCCTTGGCTGTGCCAAAGGCTGGGCCTGCCATGCCATCCATGGTGGGGCGTGCTCCATGCTGGGGCAGGAGCCCCTCTCCCCGGCCCAAGGCCACTCCAGGAACACTGTCTTAGAGTCTTAAATTGTACCAGGGCAGGATTCAGTTGGACATCAGCAAGAATTTCTTCACAGAAAGAACGATTAGACATTGGAGTGGGCTGCCGAGGGAGGTGCTGGAGTCACCATCCCTCGAGGTGTTTAAGGAAAGACTGGTCGTGGCACTTAGTGCCCTGGTCTGATTTACACGGTGTTGTCGGGTCATAAGTTGCACTCGATGATCTCAGAGGTCTTTTCCGACCCAACTCATTCTGTAATTCTGTGAGACGGCACCTGGTCCAGACACCAGGCATGGGGTGGGAGGCCCTTACATGCCCAGATGCAACAGTGTACGCGGTCCCCAGGGATGCCACACGCCAGGGGCGGCGCCAACCCCGCGTTTGCTGCCCGCCCTCAGGATCGGGATCGGGACCGACACCGCGAGCAGCCCCCGTGCCCCTCCTGCCTCAGCGCCTCCCACCGCGCGCAGGCGCAGACAGCCCGCGCCGCCGGCGCGCACGGGGGCGCAGGCGCGGTGCCGCTCCGGGCCGGGCGGCGGGAGGTTGGAGCGAGCGCCGCAGCGGGAGCTGCTCCCGCCGGGCTGGGCCGGGCCCGCCGCGGCTTCTCCTCGCTTCACCCGCGCCCCGGGGCCGCGGGGTCCCCGAGGGGCCTCCCCTCGCTCTGCAGCCGCTGCGGGTCTGTGCAGTGGCACCGTTTCTGGGGTGCCTCAGGGCCCCCCGGGGTGCGTCCTCTCAGAACGGGCTCCTCCGGCCTGTGTCTTTGTCTCTGGGTTGCCCAGCCTTCGTCCCGCTTCTCTGGGGGTGGAAAGCTGGCTGGGAAAAGTTTTATTGAGTGTTAGTAAAGCCTTCAGTTGAGAAAGTGAAAGGAGTGCGTGTTGTTGTGTAACGTACTTATAAGCAGGAAAACTGAGGACGTAGCTTCATAGACTTGCCCAGAGTGAAAAATCAAGTAAGTAGTGAAGTGGAAAATTGTCTCTTCCCCTTTTAACCCAAGTTTTCTTTACTTGATGGACAGAATTATTTTTTCTGTGTGGTGAAAAGCATCACTGCTTGAAACTGCTGGGAAGGATTTTAAGAGTGCAGGAGATCTGTGTGGAAGTGCTGTCAAGGAAGAGCATTAGCGAAGTATTTGTTGTACTTATGGTCACTGGAAGATGAATCTGCATTACAAAGTAAGGGCAGAGAGGCATAGGTTTTGAGGGTTTTTTTAAAGCTGTCTATTTAAGATAGCTCTTAGGTTTGAAATTACTTTGCTATTTACTGAATTACGTGTTTGTGATATACTGTATACGTAAGCATGATGTAGCTTTTTTTAGGCTCTTGCTTACATTAAGAAATAATATTGATAAACTTCCATTATATTTAATGGATGATGTGAGCTTTTTGTTTAATTGATGGATTGCTAAAATACCCAATTAACTGGACTCTTTCCTGAGGTCTGAGGCTTTTTAATGGAGCTCCGTATGTTCGGTTTAGAACAGCTGGGGGGGAACGTTGACTTGTAAGATAAATGAGGACCTGCATCCTTTGGTAGAGAGCCAGGAAGCCCAGGGTTGCTGGGTTATTAAGGCGTTGGCATACTGAAGCTTTGGCATTTTTCACCTCTGAAGAGGGAGCCCCCCTCGTGCCGGTCTCGTGTTGCCCAGTCGCTTGTTTGCAGGATTTTATTCCTGAGAGGCTTCTGTTCCAAAACTCCTAATTGCAATTTGCAGGTGACCAGAGGTGTAGCTGTCGATTTTCCAGCTGCATTCTGGCCACTAGCAGGTGCTTCACAAGTGCTAAACTAAGTTAAACATTGCCAAATCGACTTGCAGTTGGTTCGTGCTGGGAGGGGTGACTTACCATTTAATTAAAGCGCCTTTCTAAGCGAAAGGGGGATGTTTCCTGTTAGTCAAAAGTTCTACTTGGGTGAGTAATTACTTTTTTAAGCAGCATTCCCCAGACAGATCAAATGATAAAGTGGATTATTTTCACAGACCTGGATACCCAATTATTTTGTTCTACAGAAAAGATTAATTGTTTATACATGTGGACAACAAAAATCGTCCTGGCTCCCAACAATCCTTTTATTGCTATTTGGGATGCAGTTAAATGAAAGGACTGTTTCTTAACAACTGACTTAGGAAGCACTATTCCTTTGAGTTAGACAAGCAGTAAGGGTCATTCAGGTTAAGAAAATACACTTTGTTTGGAGTGACCTTTTTTTGATGAGTTCAACGCCTCAGGGTCTGACCTTGGATTTATAGGCAGACACTTAAAAGAAGATGTCAAATAGGAAAAAAAATTACAATGGATAATACCTGTAAGGCTTTTTATAAATATTTTTCATCTTTTAAAGAAAAAAATCCGTAGAGCTTTAGGAGCGAGGGAAAAATAATATATAAAATCCATGGTAAGATACTTTGTGGCAGTTAGTAGTGTCTTGTATCCTCTTGAAGAAAAGCCGTTCGCAAAGGAAGATGCTCCTTAGCACATGGAACAGTTGTGAAACTGATGCAGACACCTTTTTGGAACATGCTAATTAGAAAATAAGCCTTAGAATTTCCTGCTGGAGCTTTTTACTCATTTCTGCAGCCACATGGCTCATTATAATCAGGTGAAAATGACACCATAATTCATTCTGTTGTTTAACAGAGACTGCTATCCATCTCGAGATGGAAGAACCAGTGCTAGATAAAGTGCCATCTCTGTGTGATACTCCAAAGGATTCTGGAGCAGCACCTCCACGGGGGACTAGTTCAGGGAAACAGGTATGGAAACTTTGTTTTGCCAGTAATGTGATTCTTCGTAGTTAAAGAATGCTTGTGAAATAACCAAGGAGTGAGAGGTCACTGAGATAGTGCTGGAAGGCTAAAGACAGGTACCTTATAACCATAGCTACAAGGCTGTCCAGGTAAGGAATGTGCTCGGTACACTTTGCTCTGAATATGCAGATGTTTGCTGTGAATACAAAGTGATGGAGCAACACCAAATGCCATACTAATACACTTAAATACTGTTTAGGGTTTTTGGTGGGGTTTTTTGTTTGTTTTAACCTGTCATCTTCAGCTTCCTCAGATCCTAGTTTTCTGTGTTGCTGTGCATGCAGGATGACTTTCTGTAACTTCTGCCTGCACTGGAACAAAGTAGACTGCTTTCAGTTTGTATGTTCTCCATAGTGCCAAGCTCTGCTTTGGTCTTGATCCTGGCATTTGTTATGGTGATGCTGTCCTGTTCAGCATCCAGCTCTGTGCAGGACAGGCCTAGTTTGCAAGTATTCCTTAACTAATCCCATGCTCCTGTATTTTAGTGTATTTATGGACGTAAAAATGTTAGACACGTTATAAAAAATAATTGTTAACTTATTTCAAAGGAAAAAAAATTTTTTAAATGCTTATCAGTGAAGTATCTCAAAGCATGAACAAGTAAAAATTATACAGATATTTGTAATATGCTCAAGTAGAATACAGATGTTTTACACTACTGCTAATACAGATGTATATGTGTAATAAGATGGAACAGCAGAAAAAAACCATTAAACTAGAAGGGGAAATTGAACTTGATAGAATAGATTCAACCAAGTTGAAATATGCCATATTTCTTCTACACAAAGACTAGATAAGTAGGTTTGGCTCAATAGAATACAGGATTTGGTCCTAGAAATGTGGAGCTACATCTTTCCTTATCTTGCAGTTGCGTGTGCAGATAAATGTGGAAAGAAGAAGTTAGCTTCGTTCCAGTTTGTCAAGGCTACAGAGAGAATCACGAAGTCTGGCTTTACAATGATTGTTAAATATATTACATATTCTGTATAAATACTAACCAGGTAAACAATTATTTGAGATTTGATCAAGATTTAAGATTATGCTGACCACCTGTTTTTGTTTGTTTGTTTTTTAGCAAATGAGTGCAGCTCTGAGGGAGCGGTTACGGAAAACAAGACGTTCCTTTAATGCCAATTTTACAGCGGCAAAGCGGCTCAAAATAGACACTGAAGAAAAAGACTGTGCTGATGCTGACACAGGGTGCCTGCCAATGACAAGTAAAGATTGTTCCAGATTACAAGATGGTCCTGAAGACCTTGAAAGAAACAGCACTGCACATACATGTTTCAGAAGTCCCTCACGAGAGAGTGATCCCAGTGGATCAGCAGAGAATTCAGATGTGCTACCAGTTGATCTTGGTCAGCAACTGTCCCTGGAAGAAAAAGTAAGGCTGGTGAAACAAGTGCAAGAGAAGGAAGAATTACTTCGTAGGCTCAAACTGGTGAAGATGTATCGATCCAAGGTGAGGCAATACTGACTCACTGGTCTTTTGGGGTGTGTGGTGTTTGCGTATTGTGTCAGTTTAAGGCATTTTATAAAAATATCTGCATGGTATCAAAACCCCCCACATGTCAGCAAAGGACAATTTTTTTGTTTTCTTTTGTCCCAACTGCAGAACAACCTGTGTGAACTGCAGGCTTTGATAGTGAAATGGAGAAGCAGCACCCAGCTGATGCTTTATGAACTACAGTCGGCCTTTTCTGCAGACGGCAAGAAAGTGAGTCTCACTCAGCTGATTGATACTTTTGGATTAGAAGACCAGTTATTGCACTACAGCAGAACAGAAGAAGATTTTATAGATGCATAATCTACAATTGCAAAGCTTTTATTAGACACAAAAGCAGAAAAGACCAAGTGAATTCTGATCATGTCAGAAGTGTTGATCAGGCAGTGGACTTGATGCTTTGGGGTTAGGAGGTTTTCTCCAGAGAAACTTGTAAAGCTTTGTACTTAGATACAGTAGGCACTGTAAAAGGCATTACTTATTGGAAAAGATCAAACTTTTAGTGTTTTGGAGAACCTGGCTTAATGACTTAGTCAGTTAATTTTTATTTAATAAAAATAAAATGAGATCATACTTTAACAGGTAGAAAGCAGTCCATTCTTTGGTTAGTCTTTGTATGGTTACTTCTGTTGAAATAACTCAAATGGTCATTTCTGTTTGTGTTCAGATGGGGAAGAGTTCAGTTTTTTATTCATAAATACATCCCCATTTTACAAATGTCTTCCTGCTACCAGTCAGCTAATGAAGGCCAATGACAGGATTTTGTGAGTTAAGTAAAGATAACTAGTTTTCATGATGTTAATATTCTGAGGCTGTGATAAGATGTTCTCACTGGCTTTAATTGTTACTGAAGGATATGTGCCACAATGCAATTGCTTTTGGGTACTAGTCCAGACAGTCATCTTCAGGGCCACTGTCTCATAATCAATTTGCCCCAGCCTGAGGTAATAGAAGGGAAGGCAAGAAAATTGCAACCAACTTTCTACTCTACTACTATGCCTGAGAGCCAAGGTGTTTTCTCTCTTCAAATAAATAAGAAAAATAAGGCCTTGTCTAATGGGATTGCTTCAAACACAGCATCATAAAGCTGAATAAAACTTTACCATTTAATTTATTCTCCAATAAATGTATTTTTCAAAAGCTTTTTTATCTTAAGTTGAAATTGCTTATTTTCTCATCATGGCCTGAGCACAGAGCATGGTGACTTCTGCCTGCTTTTATATTCCTTAAAATCACTGCTTTTCAAGTGTAACAATACATAAATCTTAACTACTCTACAACTCTCCCTGCTATGAATCTTGTTTTCTATGTGATCATATTCTTTATCGATTATACCTTAACTGTTTTGTTTACAAGTGGCATATCCTGTTTCCTTAATAAGGAAATAATTCCTTAGACATCTGAAGGGAAATAAAATCAAAGATCATACAGACCCTTTTGACATTGATATGGCTCATTAGACTTAAATCTGTACCTAGAACTTGCTCTTAAGAATACTGACTGTTGCTGTCCACAGAGAGTTAATGCAGAACAACCTTTATTGCCAATCACATTTTGAGTATTGAAGCACTATTTCTTCTGCTTCTTTAGGTTTGTGAAGAAAGATGATGGTGCCTGGTGCAGGGGCCAGTTATCTTCCCTGAGATCCCTGGCAGATTCAGAACTCTGCTGCTTCTAGGGAAATTTCAGCAGGAAGAAAAAGTCTTGCAAGAAGCAAGATGTAATTAGCATCCTTACAGATCCCAGTTAGAGACGGTAAAACAAAAAAGGAGGTGCTGTACAGGATCACAACAGAAGTAGTTTTTTCTTACAAGTGTAGAATTTTATTAAGCTAAGGTATCAAAACTATTTCTCTCTCAAAATGGAATGAGCTTAGATATGTGAATTTATGAAAGAATAATTATTTCACACCATGGGAAACAGGGAAATAAAAGGCAGTGAGAATGACTGAGTAAGTAGATCAGGCTCTAGCAGTAGTTAATTTTATCACAGGTTCTTTATTTTTCTTAGGTGTCTTTGAGGGATTTGGCAGGAGAACAGACTGCATCAGTGCAAAGGGGTGGGAGATGCCAGAAACTATTTCAGGAGGCCAGATGCTTCCAAACCTGGTTTTCCTGTGATTCTGCCAGTGGGCAGCAGCCACAGCTACTGCTGGCTGTGGGTAATTATGCTGTGAAGGCACAGCAGCTTTTGGGACTGGGCCAAGTAGCACACATGGCCCTGACGAAGCGCATCTACATCTTCTCAGCAACCTATACGTGTGCCATCACAGGTGTAAATATATTAAGTCAAAGCCACAGACATGAATTTTAGCAGATGGAAATTCAGAGATTGCTTGCAGTACTTTAAAATGTTCTACAATTGCATATTGCAGACAGTGGACATACAAATACACCTGTTCTTCTCAGTCTGCAATTTCTTGTACCCTTTGTTTTCTATAATGAGCTATATGGTTTATATAATGAAACCAGCAGAAATAAATCTCATCAACTGAAGTATAATGGGGATAAGACCAGGTGTAAAATATGCAAACCAGACAAACATCCATCTTTCAAAGTGCAGTTATTTTTAAGGAAATTACAGAAGAAATCTTTTGTGGAAAGAAAAGTTCAGGGAGAGAAATTAGCTGTCAAAGCTCTTTTACTTAGACAAGACCATGGTATTATAGATCTACCTGGACTCTGTTCTTTATATATGAGGGGGTGTTCTTGTTCTCAGTATTTCAAGTTCTGATTGAAGACTTGCAAACTCTTCTTTCTGTTCCTTTATAAGATCCCGTAGGTTTTTCTGCTTCAAAATCTCTTGGTAACGCTGCTTTGTAATCTTTTCAGAAATATCCCGTGTGTCTGCATAAAACAAAATATAAGGATTAGCCTGTGCTCATAGGGGATGTGTAGTCTATATTTATATTGTACCTGTCCTGAGGTTATTCCAAATTCTGTATAAAATAGGCAAGCATTTTAAAGAAGGCTCCCAGTTGGGCTTAAAAGCCTTTATAGTACTGAATAAAGGAAAATATTTCAAAAAGGCACTGAGCATGCTTGCTTTAGTTTCTAGCAAGTACCCACTGTTTTGAAAATCTGTAACTTTTCCTCTAGTGGAAAGATCTCTACAGTTTTTCTAATACTGAATACCATTCTCAGCTCCACACTTCTTCCTCTGTTCCCTTGGAAGGGTGGAAAGAAGTGTGTTGAACAGCTCTGTGAAAGAATGAAAGCATGTTGTATAATGAAGTTACTAATGACTATAATATTTTTACTTGAATAGTTTCAGGAATTTAGTCAACTAGCTTTGGTTACAAGAGGCACGATCTCCAGGTACACTCTTCAGTGAGCAGTGTTAGGTTTTGGTAGGAAGGACTCTGCTAATTGCACTCATACAGGAATACACAGCCACTCCCTGTCCTTTAGCTGATGGTGGGGAACAGGACTGCACAGCCTTGGAGTTATTTTCTGAATGTTTTTCTTTGCTTGTGACTTTAAGTGCTTTACTGGACTCACCAGCTGCCTCAAAGATATGCCTCCTTTCTGAAACAGAGACAAGCATTTCCTTCAGCTGCAGGCTCAGCTCATAGTTCGCTTCCTCTTTTAAACGGATGCTCTTCTTCAGCTCTCTAATTTTTTTCTGATGGTTCTTCACATTCTTCTCGTGCAACTGTCCATTTTGAAATCAATAAAGCAAATATATGAGGTGATAAAAAAGCTGTTCAGACAAACGTGATGGAAACTTACAATTTTAAGCACTGCATTGTAGCTCAATAAACTTTCATGTATTTTGATTTGACTGGTAGCACATTCTAAGCTTGACTTTGTATAGTGTCTTTCACATGCTGTATCTCAGTATGTTTATGGAGATCTAATATAAGGACCAGCCAAGGAACCAAGAGGTATGGGTCAGGGAGAGAGATATTAAAGATAAAACTTGAAAGGAAAAGAGAGGAAAGGAAGTCAGTGGAATCAGTGAGTTAAGGACATGCTCTTGGCTGCTGGGAGCTGCTGAAGAAAAGGTTGTGCTGAAGCTGTAAAGGGACAAGATAAATACTAAAGCTTGAAGAGGAAGAGGAGGCTGCTGTCAGCTAGTGCAACTTGGAGAAAATTTACTGGAAACTCTTAAAAACAAGGATAATCATAATTTGAGGGATGAAATAGATGAGGGAGCCAGCAAATCAGATTGTTGTGTGTGTTATTTTGAATACAGGGGGGTAGGGATATTATGAATAGGCTGGTGCTCCTGGAGAGAAACATTTAGCAGTAAGGACTGAAAGAATGCTTCATTAGAAATGGAAGAGTGACTTTTATAAGCAGTGCTGTGTAAGAAATGATTAGCAGATCTGCATTCAGATGTTCAGGACAGGAAAGCATTTAACTCCAGTAGCAGAGCAAGTAGATGTCTCTCCATAGGGTTGATCTCTGCAGCAATTCAGGTATGATGACTGCTTCCAAAGACTTTAGAGAACTGCTGCTGTAGCCAGCACAGCTCAAGTTGAAGAAACTATTGAAAGCCAGATGGACAAACACATGACTATATATATATTCATCTGTGTCTGCTGTTGTGGCTGTACTCCAACAGTCCTTGAGTTAGCACGCCTATATCAATTGTACTTACTTCTTATTCCTTACAAACACCTCTTGCTAATGAAGGCAAGGAGTTGCATTTAAACTAAGGATGTGTCTCTCAAATGTGGTGGTTCCCTTAAGATTTACCTTATCCATGAAACGAAGAGTCTCCTCCAGCCCTGCAATGTGCTGGGCGATGTGGCTGCCATAGTTCTGCACGGTTAGGAACTGAAGAAATAAAACCAGAAAGAAATGATCTTATTATGCCAGTTCATTCTTAACAATTCCACACTTCTATAAAGGCAATCATACTATGTGAAATGCAAAAAACCTAGAATTCTGCAGTGGAAGGGCTTACTAGCGATCATAAATGGACGTCATAAAGATATTCTTGGACACTCTGAATACTAGACTGTGCAGCTGTTAAAAAGAATGTTATCTGTCACGTGTTAATGGAAACAAAGACCAAACAAATTTGTTGAGATTGTCAAAAACCCCAAGCTATACTTTTGCTTATAATGCAATCTAAGCTTACACAGCTGGAGGCCAAAGTGCTATACAGTGTGTCTTTAGGCTAGAGAGGAAAAGAATTATTTTCTGTCTCTCAGCTTCCTAGTAATTCTTACTTCTTTTATTGTTCTATCTGCATAGTAATTGATATTTCAGAGAATTTATTGGGTTTTTTTCCTTGAGCACACTGCTACTAAAATACCTCTTTATCAAATGACAAATGGTAAACCTCATAATGTTTTATGGACCTGTAATGGGCAGTAGACAGGTTTCTGTATTTGTAGACTCATCCTTCCCGAGTTCTGTCCCACCAAAGTTGACAGGTAGAATTTTGTGGACTATTCTTGTTAGGGGAGGGGAAGCAGGAAAGACCCAGCGGGCTCCTCTGCCTACAGTATTAAACTTCTTTCACTCACTCCTTCATTAACAGCCCTCACTCCAGATGTTCTCAGGTCCTTGCCCACACACATTTATCTTAGCCATCTTTCTTTCTGTTCCTATTGTTGGCGTCTCTGTTGCCTTGTCTTTCCCAATAACACTATATTTCTACTCAAAAACTGAAGTAAAGTCAAGCCTCTCAGAGCATACAAATTCTGATTAAACTAGTAAATGCCTTTGCTATGGACAGTTTAACTCTCTCTGAAAGGTGACAGTTTAAATGCTCATCAGTTTAAATGAGCTAACAGCAACACTGGTGATGAATTTGCCACAAGAACTTTTCGGTGTGTTGTCACATCACCTCTTTGGAAAGCTGTTCTGTTGTGCTAGTTGTGGAAGTCCCTTGGTTGTATTCAGAACCAGCATTGTGGAGAGCAGCAAAACAAATGAAGACTGAGCAAAACATGTGGTTTGGATTTTCTTTTAATCTTTTGATTGCATTACAGTCTCCTTACCTGCTGTCCAACACTTCCTTTTCTCCGTGTTTTATGGCTCTCCCCACTGCAATATCTCCAGCCTTCCCAGCCTCCAGCATCCCTTACTTCAAACCTTTATGCCCCTCACCTCATCACCTCAAGACCCTCAGATTTCCCTGCAGTCCTCTACATCCCATACTGTGATACCCTCAGGCTTTCCCTACAACCTTGCTTCTTCCTCCCTTCTTCTCCCAGTGGTATCCTTGGCTCGCTCCCACAGTCTTTATCCATGTTTCCTGGCCTGCCAGCTGGGCGTGCTCCAAGTTGTGTAGGTGCTGCCTTGCCGGCCGGCTGCTCCCTCCTGCCTGCCGGGGATGGCAAACAATTCCCTGTCATTCTGCTGCTGGGCCAGCGAATGGCAGTGAGCGGGTGGGACTCAGTGAGGCTCCTGTAGGAACGCTCAATCTGTTTACTGAGCAAAAGTTACGGTATTTCTGTGCGATACCAGATGGGGGCACCTCAGACCTTTCATTTAAAAAGGATGCTGATCGATTTTAAAACATCTGTGCCTTGTGGCTGCAAAATCCTAAATCCTTACTCTTGCCAATTTTGAAACACTAAGAGTTAAGGCTAATTTTGCCTTAATTTACACCTCAACATCCCAAAGAATTTCATCACTGATCAATTCAATGTGTAAAGCTTCCCTTTGAAAGCGGAATTGTTGACCTATTAGGCATCACATTTCTTTGTTGTAGTAAGAGACTTACGAGATACAAATGATCTTTCTTACCAGTACAGGCAGCATAATTTTCTGCAGTCAAAATATAAATTAGAGAAAGCAACTCACTAGCTGGCAGTCTTTTGAAATAGGTAGTATTACAATGTCCCGAGCCTTCTCTTTCAGATCTTCTATCTGCATTCTCATTTTCTTGTGCTCCCATTCCAGCCGACGTATCCCTCTAGAGAAGTCTTTGAATTCTATTATAGCAGCAATTTTTTTTTCTCCTTGAGTCTGAAAAAGTAGATCAATCTTAATTAACACATTTTACAGATTATGGAATAATTGTTTGCAACAAGATGGGCAAGCTTCCAAAGTTATAATTTTAGTCAGTTAAACAGGCTATACTGCAGTCTCTTTCCAGACTTTGCTCCAGATGGTTATCTTTCATGAAAATCTGTTCCCTTTTATGCCCTGTGTCACAGCCTTGGATCATAGAAGTAAATGAAGAAAATGACAACTAACCTCTCTCTCCATCTTTCTATCTCCATCTTTCTACCTTATATAAGAATGGGAAGGCATTTTAGGTACAAAATATAGGTATTTTGCTGTTGTTACTGAAGGCTTTGTGCAGAAGCAGCAAAAGGCAATTTTTGTACAGCTGGAATGTCTAAAAAAATAATGTCTAAAAAAGACTGTTTTAAATATCATCAGCAATTTCACCTTACATAAAAAAACTGTATTAATTTTTTAAATCTTAATGTAAGCTACTGTTCAAATGCTTCTTAACATGACTATAAGTTTGCCTTGAGGGAATTTTCGGACTGGTATCTAGGATATTAGAAGTTTCTATTTACAATATATGTGTGATGGTGTGTCCAGAAACTGTTGCCATTTCATTGATTTGAAGCGTATTGATCAAACATCAAGAAAGCAGTTTGTATTGCAATCTTTACATCATGATAAGAGACATTAGAGAATTCTTAATAGCTTCTAGATTACAATTGAGCCTGCTGGTGTGTTGTAATGAAATGAAAGTAGACATCAAACTGGAAAAAAAGCAGAGCCCCTGAAGTACATGCATTGGTTTAAAAAGTTTAAATTTCCTTCAGATAATTACCGAGATAGAGCAATTCAGTTCTTCAACAACACTCTTTTTAATGAGAATAGCATCAGAGTAGTCTGGGATCTCAGTATTTTCCAATTCCACCTGTCCTTGTTTTAGCACAAACTGGACAGTCAAATTCTGCTGAAGTTTCATCTTCTTCTCCTGCAACCTAAAATGGCAGAAAACAAAAACAGTGTTTAGTGATTTCAACAGGATTATATAACTATTTATATTAATTACTGGTAAGTGGTATGTTCATATAGGGGTTAGTCCTTGACAGCTTGTCTTCTGATTGCTCCCAAAGTAACTACAAATATGGAAATTCTGGTGTATATATATATATATATATATATATACACACACATGAAGTTTTCAACCACTGGATTCAGTTTACCGTACTCCAGCAGATGTTCTGAGAGAGAGTGTTGTTACTGAAAAAAAACCTTAACACCAATTGAAAAGAAAACAGAAGAGACTTCCAGCCAGCACCACTTTTCTTATATAATTTATTCTGGGGGTTGTTCTTGAATGATAATAAATGTGAAAAATATGGTATGTACATGAAAAATGGAATATTGCAGGTCCAAGCAGCAATGAAACCCCCATAAAAGAGTATTAAGAACACAGATGTGTAATTCTGTTTGTAACTTTTGGTTCTGTGTTGGTGGAGCACTAAAGTGTAGCTGAACTTAAGAAAAGATGCAAAATTACCAAGTGAGTTCATTGAAAATGTTCTCTATTTGTGACTTCATCTTCTCATTTTCATCCATTCTTCTCTGCAAAAAGGCCTGCATGTCTGCCAGTGTAAGGGCCTTCCTTTTCACCTAAGCAAGCAACATTGTGACAGTCTGAACTTTTTCAGCTTTGTCAGTACGTCAGGACAAGCTTCTTCAAGAACAGAGAAGACAAGTTCTTTAGAAAATATATGTATATATAAATATGCAGCCTGGTACTTTGAGAATCCCAGAATGAGACATAGAGGTTACAATCCTTACACTCTGCTCAGAAAATTAGTTGTTCTTATATGCATAGTTTTTTCCCATGAAGGGAAATCATATTTCCTTCTCTTTTGGTAAAATTTCACATATCTCTTTCTCTGGATAATTCAGATTTACACCTTCATGTTTTTATACTGAACAAACAGATTGCTAGAAATATCCAGAAACACCCTTCATTAAGAATTGCTCTTTATATTTTAGAAAAACATGAGAATGCATTGGTATAAATGTAGAATGCTAATGGGAGAGAATGACTCCAACAGATGATGGGAATCAAATACCTTATCATTTTTGTGGTACGAATAGAGAAAAGGAAAATTATCTTTTTATTTGTAATGAAACAAAATCAGGGTCGCAATTATTCTGATCAAATATGTCCATATTAATATCCTAATTTTTCCTCTGAAGAACAACTACAGCTAGAACTAGACTACAGGTTTCCCTGTTATTCTGAATTGAATATGGCCAGAAGAAACTTTCAAAGTCAAATGGAGTTAATATATTCTGCAGTGTTATTTCATCACTAGCTTGACCGTACATGAAAACTCCACTGAAGTTTAAGAATCAAAACTATCAAGAAGTATACTGGCAAAATAAAGAATTTTACATACCAGCTCCTCACTCTCCATTTTCTTTCGTCTAGCTAGACAAAAATTTTTCCATATAGACTGCTCTAAGCCTTCAGGCATGTGCTCAGGACTATCCAGTTCATCCATGGCTTTCATTAAAAGGGTAAGTGCATCTTTGTAATCCTCAGAGCCTGAACAATTCCCATATGGATTAGGTGTGTCAAGGAGCATTTCTGTCCTTGGGCTCCTAGTGCACACACACAGCACAGACAGGATTTACTTTTTATTTTCTCTTGCATAAATGAAGGTCACAAACAACAAAGAATGTTTCATACTCTCAGTCTCTTGCAAAAAGCAAATAGGTAACACTATATCTTACACAAAATAAGAATATATGGTCTTGAGACCTGATGATTATTTAGATTGCATTTAAAATAGATTTTGTGGAGTGAACACGGAAATGTAAATACTCAAAATAGCAATCGTTAGTGTGATGGGAAATCAACCATTGTTAACTATCCAGTAAAAAGCAGGAAAAATAATTTAGACTTGAAATAAATAGCATTCTCATTCTTGGCTCACAAGAGATATCAGCCTTTAAGCAATGGAATCAGAGGGGATCTTACTTCGGTCGATGCGTGTAAAGTCGGTGAAGTTCATCAAGGACATCGTCAGGTGTGTCAGCAAACTGCTTTCTAAAACGACGTTCCAGATTCTGGGGTGGGGCAGAGGGAAGAAAGCTTTCTTGTTACCACAATATTATTTTTTAAAAAAAGCATCAACCTGCCCATATCTTAGAAATACAGAATATGGTGATCTTCCAAGCACTCCCAAGCATCATGGGAATCTGGACTATTCCATACATTATTCTGTGCACACACTGTCCTCCACTGCTTTATTTCAGCATTATTAACTTTAATAATCAGCAAGCTGACCAGAACTCCTGCTTACAGAGAAGTATGTTCTTCTCATTATCAAGACACAACATTAACTTTGAACTTCTGTACCTCCTTATCTTTCTCGAGAGTCTCACCTTCTCTTCACCTATTGCATCTTTATAGGGGCCTGTGTAAGCATCAACTTTACTTTTTGCAGTCAGGACTGTTTTTGCCTTCTTGACCTATAGCAAAACCAAAAGATTTCAGGAATGAAATTCAGCCAGCAGAAGCACCGAATGGCTATTCCTATACAGTGATGAAGCTGACACTTTCTTATTTCTAGAGAAAATCTTGTGAGCTATTTTTACTAACAATATAATGCCTTCTTCAGGGGTCACTTATAGACACTGCTAAAAGATGATCAGGTGTGAAATTAAGCTAGACCACTGCTTAAGAATGTAAGAAATTTGTGTTAGAAATACTTCCAAGTCTTTTTAAACACTGAATGTAAAGACATATGATGACATTTTTTTATCACTTGCCATAGAGATTTCCTTTCATGTCAACCCAGGTAAGACCAGTCAAAAAATCTCCAGTGTTGCTCAGTGGAGAGTTCTTCATTTTAGAATGCTATCTCCCCATTGCCATGGCACAGTTCTGCTCTGTGTCAGGACTAAGGTCATCTGTTTTATTGAGGCTGTTAAATGCTAATACTCTGCTGGGGAGACCATTTTGTTGTATTTGACAGTTTGCAGGGAACAAAAGATATATAAATGGAACCATTTAGTAAATTTAAAAAAAATGTATTTTGAAAAATGTAAGCTGTATAGACTTTGCTTGGATAATTTTAAAACTAGGTCAGCCTATTCACTGGTAGGGGCTAAATGCCTGCTTTGGAATCCCTTCCTGTAGCTCACAGAAAAAAAGGCTGCCTGCAGCTCCATGCACAGTGCTCTGTGCAGGTTGAGTAGGAGATCTGACATGGGGAGGCATTAGTGTATTATCTGTGGACTCATCAACAGCTCCATGAAGACAAAGTAGGCACGGCCTTGGCAGGCACTGGACACCTCAGTGAAAAATGTGATGGCATTACATATCGTTTTGTGCATCTTCCTATCATAAATACACCATAATTGGTACTTCCAGCTTGATACTGGACACTAAAAAACATTCTACATAGCAAGCAAATAGCAGTATGTCCTTCTGAATGTATGGAATTTTACCAAGGAACTCCAGATGAACCAAGTCAAGTATTTATTGAAAAAAACAGATCTACTTATAATATATGTCACCTGTACAAGTTGTAAAAAAATCAGTGACCCTGTAAATTGTCAGAAAATCCTTTATGGCAAGATTTTGATTTGGAAACAGCAGACTTCACAAGCAACTGTACTGCCAATGTTATACTTCTCCTAAGAACAGCATTCTAAACGGTAACTTACTTTTTCTTTCTTCTTTTTTATAAGGCAATTATGAAGTCCAGCTTCTCTAGTGTCCAATTCTTCATCCAACAGTAAAGCACAAGTGAGATTGACTATTTTGAGCTCTTCCTGTGAAATTATTATAACAGAAATGTTTAACATTCCTGCTGCACAGAGGCAGAGATGAAAAATTATTATTTTTTGCAATACCTGGTAGATGACCATCTCTGATTTCACTTTCCTTTCAGAGAGTTTGCAGACAGTCTCATCAAAATGTTGTGTTGTTTCCTGGATGGAAGCTTCAAGTTTCTTCCATTCATTTTCCAGTGTCTGGGGAAGGAAAGGACAAGAACAGCAATATTACATCTGAAGGAACAAAAAATCTCTAATATATCTATATTTATATCTACATATATATATATATGAGATGCTGGAGAATGCACAATATGGAACTGTATACTTCAGCCAAAAGGCTCCAGAAATTATTTGCTTAGAAAGAGAGTGCCAGGCTACCAAGTTATGTAGTTCAAATACCACTTTGAAGAATACGTATAATTTTATTATTTGTGTATGGCATCAGCAACTCTGGGAATGGAACCTGAAAAACACATTTTAGGAATATAAGTATTCCATTTGTGAAGGAAAGTTACCTTTTTCAGATACCCCAAATTTTGGCACATATGAATTGGTATAAGTGGAGATTGACTTATTCTATTGTCTAAGATACCATTTATTTAATATGCCACATGATCTTTGATCTTCATTTCTTCTTTGTTTATCCTATATATTAGTATTCATTTTTAGAACTTGCTCCTGAGAAAGATCAGAAGCTTTGCTCATGAGCACTGTGAACAAAACCACTCCTCTCCTCATTTTAATTTACTTTTTTATACTCTTCTTTTTCTTCATTCAGTTCCTTGACTTTTTTCTCATATTCTCCAAATATTTTCTTTTCTTCATCACTCCAAAGATCTTCAGGCTTGGATATAAAAGGAGGTGGAGGAATATTCTGGAAGTATTAAAGAAAAATAGACTTAAAAAGCAATATTAAGTCTATGTCAGCACACTAGCGAACTATAGAATGCATCAAATTTAATGAAAGGTATTTCTTAGAAAGGTATAAGCCTTAAGTCAAAATAACATATACATTCTATTGCTTTGATCTGTTACTTGCACCAGTAGTTTTGCTGTATATATATTGTGCTATTCTCACTTATTTGCTTACAGGTATTCACTACTGAATTTTGTAAAGTACAATTATTTTGTACTCAAATATACTACTGTCCATACAGGATATATCATATTTTCTGTTTCAGAACCCCAAATCTAACTCCATGCTAACTTCTAAGTGGAGTCCTAATTTTCCAAAACAGAGCTGTTCCATGGGTAGTGCTTGGATCTGCCCTCACCCTTTTCTGTGACACTTCTTCCCATTCTTTTCTTCCTCTACTACTGTACTATCTATATTTGCTGAGTTAAATGGAACACAGTGTTTTTCTGTAAGACCAAAGACATGGATAATAGACCCTTCCCCTAGGCATATAGTTGTTGTAATGCTAATAGTAGATTATGTTCCTACAGTATTCCACTGTGATAGGGACAGGTGTTGATGGGTAAATCATATACAGGCAGTAGAATCTTGTGGTCTCCTTTGAATCCAATGTACAGTCTCTTATGGAGTCTATCTAGTCATAATGCAATTCTACAATTCTCCAGCTTTCTTCTGTCACTTAGGTTGGAAATATTCACTTGTTGAATTTCACATTACCATAAGAACCCACAAGCTCCCAAACCACATGACAGAAACACATCTCACCATTTTCAGGATGTCTTCCTTTCTGACTTCCAGCACTCCACCCATCATGTCATCAAGAGCACGCAGTCTGTCATCATCCTGGCAATGACCACAAAGAAATATTTTCAGGTACAAAAGGAAGTGTAGTAATTGCAAGTTATGGGGACGATCATGATGTTCACCTCTAGATCCCCGCTATGATTATTCAGCGTGTCACTAGGAAATCACAGAGTCACAGGATCAACTAGGTTGGAAAAGTCCTCTGAGATCATCCAGTCCAACCTATGACCTAATACCCCCCTGTCAACTAATAATGCAATAATGCTCTTTGGTGATGTGTGTGAAATATGCCAAAAGTCTCACAGTGAGCCTAACACTATCTTTTCTTCCCTCAGCTGGTCTATGTAGTTCTGATTGTAAATAATAACAAGAGGGAAAAGGTAAACATCATCATTACCTGCCATTTCAAATTTATTTTCCCATGCTACATTACTGGAATATTCCAGTGTGACATTAATTAAATAAGCCTACCCAGAGACAAAGGCCTATTCAGTAAAAGGACACTACTTTAATTACCGTAGCTGCAAGGCGTTTTTCCATTTCAAGCTTAGCCAGCATTTCTGCTTTTTCTTTCTCCTCTTGAGTCAAGTATTTCTCAGCTTTAATCTGAAGGAAGAAAATGAGGTTTGTATCAGGGTACTTTTCTTCAAATTTGATCACATGTGGACTAAGAATCTTTGGAAATATGGTGGTCCTGGTTTTGGCTGGGATAGAGTTAATTTACTTCCAAGTAGCTGGTACAGCACATCCCTGGCATCAGGGTATTGGTGGTGAGCAATTGTTTTTCATCTGCATCAGTTGTTTTTCCTGGATTTTCTGTCTTTCTCTTTTAATTACAATTATTATTATGATTTCATCACATTTATTATTACAATTTTGATTATTATTGTTATTATTATATTTTATTTAAATTATTAAACTATTATAATCCCAACCTATGAGTTTTCTCACTTTTACCCTTTCAATTCTTTCCCCCACCCTGGTGGGTTAGGAAGTGAGTAAGCAGCTGTGTGGTGCTTAGTTGCTGGCTGGGGTTAAACCATGACAATGGTGTAACACTAATTCTTAATTCTTTTTGTATCTCTGCTCTATGATAATATTTCTCAAGATGAAAATTCTCCTTTTGAACAGATCCAAAAACTATATTTAAATATCCTAAAAATACAAACGATGCCATCCTTTTTTTTTATGTTGTTTTTTATGCATGCCTTTTCTGACAGTGGAATAACATGGACTGGTGAGAGAGCAGAGAGAAGTTGGAAAAGACTGACCAAAAGAGCAGATCAGATCAGTGGAATGTATTGTATTAGAAATACAGTATTTCTTTATAAATTATCAATTGGATGTATAAGTACATCATAAAGTATGCTTTAGTACTTAGATACTTAGTTTCAAAATGCTGCTCAGAGAAAACAGAGAAACCCTTATCTATGGAAGCAATTCCTGAAAGCCTGGTTTGAATCTCAGGAACAGGGATATTTTCTACCTAATTTATGGGCATTTATAAACTTTTAACAGCAGTAAATTAAGTTTGTATACATTTAATTCATTTCAGATTGACTTACTAAGAGTTTTCTCCCTAAAAAGAAAAGGGAAGGAAATGAGCCAAAAAGACGATCTTAAGTACACAGACACATCTGTTTTAAGGGTTTTCAGTACTGACACAATGTCTGGAAATGAGAAGAATTAGAGAACTGTAATTGAGTGGGTGAAATAGAAAGATGTGTTTTTCAGACACCTCTGAATCTTGAACAGTAAGTGCTCGCTCTGGCATCTCATCATCTGTAAGAGCTGGCTCCCACACTTCCACTTGGAGGTCAAGTTGTTCCAAGATTTCTCGGATCCTCAGGTTTCTTTCTTTCACTCGTGCTATCTCCTGCTCCTTTTGTTGTGCAACTATGTCAAATTCCTTATTAAAAGCAGTTTTCACTTTGTAAATGATGTCCTGAAACACCAAAAAAGGAAGCAGCAGTACGGCACAGGTCACATCCATCCATGTTTATGTACTAGTCCACAAGCCAACAGAAGCATAAATGTGTGTATTTGTACATGTGACAGGGAGATAAACTGGTAAAGCCTTTTTGTGAAAATCATAAGGGCAGAGCTCAAACTTTGTTAAACAGAGTTGGACAAATTATCTTTTTTTTCCCCCTGGAAATTTTTATTAATTTTCTTCTACGTATTTGCCATTTGACAAAGATTCTGAAAGAAACATACTGCTGCCAAAGCTAGATAAAAAAATAGGCTGCCCTTTATTTGTGGTTTTTGCCCTCTTCAGCTGGAAGAAGAAGGTGGTTCAATGAAAAAAACCTGGGACCTGTAAATCTAGAGATTGTAAATTCCAGGTGCAGGGAGTCAGAGTAAAGGACATACTTTCCTGATGCAACCTGCAGTTTCAATATGCTTTCATGTAATTTCTCTGACATATGTAAGTAAAATGTGCCCATTAAACAAACAAACACTGGAAACTGTTTTTTTTTAAACACCTGAGACCTTATAATGATTTTAAAAAGTACATATTCTTATTGGATAAATTCTTCTTTTAGTATAAATAACTGATCTCAACAAAGAAAATTAGAACATTAAGAGAGAAAACAATGTGCCTCTCTTACTGTGTCAATTTACTAAAATGCATCATGAGAATGATTTCAGTTCTATCATTAAACTTCATATTTTAAGATGCTTATCTGTTTGTAATTTGTATTACAATAAATATTTGTGTCTGATGATTATTTCATTGATTTATAATGTAATATTAAGTTAGGATGTGGTCAGGCAGGATGGCAGATAAGGTACCATCTTGCTGGGAGGAAAAAGGCTGTATTTAATGTCTAGACAACCATCTAGCCCTTAGGAAGCTCACTGCATTGGCCAAGAGCACTGAAGATATAGCTACACCTTCTTATACAATATGAGTCTTTAAAGCCATACAGTAAAAAGATCTTGTTATATCCAAGTGGAAAGTGTTTCTTGTGTTTCTTTACCATCTACTTTAAACACTAGTGTATCAATTAGATTTTATGTATAACAATGTTTAACCATTTTGCTCTGCTACCATTTACAGCCGTAGAGAGCTCTGAGAAGGCAATGCCTTATACTAATTTAACCACTTGCAGCTCATCTTCCTAAGAAGCCTATTCTGTAGCGTGTTTATGACTTAATAAATTGGTCAGGGTAAGAAAAGTAAGAGAGTCTGATACTAATGAATAATAAATAACAGAAACATTAAGGACTCCAAATAAAAGGTTGGTGAGACTGTAGGGTAAGGAAATAGTGTGAGGATCCAGCTGATCTTTCATTCAGCAGCAAATAACAGGGAAAGAGGTAACAGGGAAAGAGGTCATGTTGTTACAGGGCATGCTGAGATGTGCAAGCTATCTTTGGCTCTGAAAACTCAAACTGAAGCACCAGTGGGCAAACACAGATACCCTCAAACTGGGTAACCAATCTCACAAAAATGTTGTTCTTCCACCCCCGAGGTGGCAAATCCACGTGGTACTCTACTGCACTATGTGCATTTGTCGGCTTTTGTCTCAATTACTCAGTGACCTGTGCAACTCTCCATTGTTTAGTGAACAAATCTAACCATGCCCAAAATCTAACAGTGGCTGTGACTGCTGTGAAAACAAACAGATATGACAGTGTTGCTGCAGTAAGAGAAATTTCAGATGTCACCTTCAACAATACTATCTGATTGACTCTCTGCTCCTTGGTGTGCAAATCACACTGGTGATATAGGATAGATGTGTCTCCACCATACTGAGAGCTCAGACTTCCAATCAGGCAGAAAGATTCACCATCATCAGCCACAGCTTTTGCTTCCTTCTTTCCTTCTTCCTCAGATAATACAGTCTCAGACTCAGTCTCAAGATCTTCCTTCTGAACCTGCATTTCACAAACATGATCACTGTGTCACATGTTTCACTGAATCATGTACAAACGTATGAAAAAATTCTAAAGGCTACTATATTCTTCCATTAAATTCAGTGATCAAAATAATACAAGTTGAAATGATCACATTTGGAATATTTGGACCATTTGTACATTCTCCAGTACAACACACGGACATACTGAGGCAAGTCAAGTAATAGGGCACTGATACAATTAAGGATTTGAAATATCTAACATGTGAGGACAGCCTGAGAGAACTGGAATAGTTTGGCATCAAGAAGGAAAAGGCTTGGGGGATTCTTTTGCCTGAAAGAATTGTCAAACAACATGGGAACTCTTTTACTGTGAGAGTTGTCAAACATGGGAAGAGGTAGCCCCTAGAGGTTTTGGAATCTTTCATCCTTGGAGATATTCCAAACCTGACTGGACATGGCCCTGAGTAAATTACTCTGGGAGTGCTGGACAAGATAACTTCCAAAGGGCTTTTCTAAACTCAGCTATTCTATGGTTATTTAACACTAATACATTTTTTTCTGTGTAAACCCACAATGTTTCATCTTTATTTATATTTTTAAAATTTCTTGACAATTTCTACAGCAAGAGAATGGACCTTAGGAATGTAACTAGATAAAGAACTGTTAAGATGCCATCTCAGAACATCCTGATCTGAAATGCTTTTATGCAGTACTTCAAAAAGGTTGTACCTTAAGATTAGCTGTCTCGGTATCCTTTAACCGGAGAACTTTCTCCAAAGTTTCCAGCTCTTCTTTACTGCGTTCCTCCAGGGGATAATTCTTCACTTCACAGTCCATATGGAAGCACTGTTCAAATTTAAAAACCAAAAAACCCAAAGTAAAAAGTTCTTCAGAATGCCTCTATTAGTTTATTTGTTCAATACCTGAATGCTAAACAGTTTTTAAGACTTCTTAAAATCAGGAATAAAATTGAGGCTTAATTAATACAGACAACGTAGTATAAATAGATTTTTTTTTCCAAATTATCTATGGATATGGCCTCTTTATTCACAGAATTAAATCAAAACTAGATTTTTTGTAAAATGACTTGGTCTTTCCCCATCTTCGAGATAATCCAGTATCATCATTTTGACTCATGTCCCTCTGTTTAAAATGGGAAAAATCAGGGTTAAATTTTGCCTTTATGTTCTGTGTAGCAGAAGTCATACTGACTGCACACAGAAAAATAGGATTTACCTCTCCTTTTAGCAATACTGTAAAGAGTAAATACATTGTCTGAGATCAAGAAATTTAAGAGTTGCTTATTTGCTTATCAGAACTCTTTTCCAGCTTGGAAGGTAAAATCCACCAGGCTCAGAGAAAATGAGCAGAATGAAAGATCTGCACAAGCCCCAAGAAGAAGTAAAGTTTTTCCCATACCATAAGCAAATCAGAAATATGTTACTTTGTCTCTGTACCTTAAGGAATAAATGCTGCAGAAAATTACTTAGAAAGCAGGGGTTACCTTAACTGCACGTCCTTTTACACACAAAGCATCCCAGCACTCATACTTGATGAAATCCTGCAAATAGCAGTTGGATAAATTCTCCATCTCAATCGCCTTCCTTGCCTTTCAAGATACAGAAAAGAAAATAACAAGATGTGGTTCGAAATAACAAGATATGAACAATTTGTGTGGAGTTATTGAAAGAAAACTAACAGATTAAATGAATTACCAATATTTAATCATCCTAGACAATCACAGCTATCTTCTCCAAAAACTATATTGCATAGTACTGAAAGGCATAATTTTATATGTGAAAAAATGCATTCTAGAACTTAAGCAACGGGCCCAATGCCACAGTGTCAGATTTATAGTTGTTGGCATAGATCATATTCCAGTTTGCAATGTCTGCATCAGCACTTTCACCTGGCTTCAAAAAGTGACTTTAAATACTTTTTGGTTTTCCTGCTTCTCAGCAGTGAACAGCAACTTTAAGACAATCCTCTGTTCTTCAATCATTTTTCTCATTTCCACTGATGGTTTTAAAATGTTCCCCCATTCTATCATACCCTGGCCACTTCTTGTTCAGCCTCTGCTTGCAGTCTTTCCTGTTCTTCCATATCCAGGTTGAACTCCTGGTGCTCCAGTTTCTCAATGTCTGGCACCTGCTCATTTTCATGCATCATTTGCTGAATCTGTTTTTTAAAAAATAAGCATAAGGAGTAAAAAGTAATTTGAATGTGAATAGAAGAAATGCTATTTTTAACACTTCAGAACTTGTTATTAGAGAAAATTATTTTAATTACTTGCACTTTTAACTGCTTCATGGTAATTAGTAGAATGTGCTGCCTGTACCTAGTGACAGACAGCACTATGTGAGTATATTTAATCTTTCTTAAAGTTGATTTGAATGTTATATGTGAACTTGTGTATACTCTCTAAGAACCTGTAGTACACATTGCTTTGTTCTTTGATTTGAGAACTTTATTAAGGTGTTATCACTTTATTTATCTTGTGCAGTTCAACAAAGGGCAACACAAAATCCTGCACCTGGGTAGGAGCAGTGCCATGCACCAGGACATGCTGGGTGCTGGGCAACTGGAAAACAACTTTGAAGAAAAGTAGCTGGGGGTCCTGGTGGCCCAAGGTGACCAGGAGCCAGCAATGTGCCCTTGTGGCAAAGAAGTCTCACAGTATCCTGGGCTGTACTGAGTGTTGCTAGCAGGATGAGAGAGGTGAGAGGCATGGACACGCTGGAGAGAGTCCAATGGGATATGGGACTGGAGCACATCTCATATGAGAAAAGGCTGAGAGAACTGGGACTGTTCAGCCTAAAAAAAAGAAACGGCCTGGGGAGAATGTAACCAGTGTATATAAATACCAAAAGGGAGGCAGGTGCTAAGAGAGCAGAGACAGGCTCTTTTCAGTGGTGCCCAGTGATGGGACCAGAGGCAATGGGTACAAATGGAAACACAAGAGATTCTGCACAAATATCAGGAGACATTTTTTTACTGTGAAGGTGACTGAGTACTTGAATGGGTTGTCCAGAGAGGTCACGGAATCTCCATTTCTGGAGATAATCAAAACCCATCTGGACATGGTCCTCAGCAGACTGCTTTAGGTGACCCTCTGCCTTATCCTCTTGCAGATTGAAGTTTTTAAGGAAAGAAACAGAAGAAAGAGGAGAGGACAATATTTTCTATCAGGTTGTTAGGCCTGCTGAGGGGACAGGTTGCTCAAAGTATAAGGGTGGCACAAAATATTTATTTGGAGCAAAGGAAACTGAGAACCAGACAGGCAGTTTCAGCCTACAGTTCCTGAAGAAGCACACCTCTCTATTACCTGTCTGCTCAGGGTTTATGACAAAAATGTAACTGAGAATTAGAGCTAGCAGCCATAAAGGAAAGTGCCCTTGTAAACAAAACTGGGAAGCTGAGCCATTACCCTTGTAAGAAACTCACAGTTTGACGCAGCTTTTTAATTCCCATTTGCAGCTCTTGCTTCTGGTTAGCAAACCTCTGAGTCTCTTCTCTAATGACCTGACATATAAGAAATGTGTTATTGAAAGACAAAAAGATACAAGAGAAAAAAATATTGAAATAATCTAAAGGAACATTATTTGTACAGAAAGTAAAACTCCAAAGGTATTAATAACTGAAACAGACATAATCCTAAGACAAAAGGACGATTCTTAGGATTGCCACAGGAGAAAAAAAGATTGTATAACCAGGTCACATTGTAAACTGTACAGTAATAGAGCATAAAAGAAAGAAAATATTAAAGAAAGAAATAATTACAAGTGTAATGATTACAGACACATTGAACTGCATAAAGCCCACTGTCAGATTTTTTAATCCTTATATTTTTCATTTTCCTAAGCATTTTCAGTGGAATAAACTGACATCTTTTACTCATTCTGGAAGCTGTGATATTTTCTTTGCCCCTACAGACTTCTAAAAGTCTAGATCACAATGCCTTAAAGAAAAGTCCAAACCTGATAAAAGCTTTAGAAATAAGATTCTTTTTACAGCATATAATTTAGCACCCCAAATCACTAATGACTCTTGAAAACTCTGGCTTTGATTGATACTTGTTCTGTGAAAGTACCTTCTGTATTTTCTGACCTATCCATGTCATGTCATTGGTATTTGTGACGTTTCCATCTTCTTCTATCACATCTACACTGGAAGATTTCAGTGGTGCCTCCTGAAATTAAGGATAGAAGCATCTAGCTCAGGTACTTAGGGAGAATGAGAGAGAGGCAGAAATGAAATAAAAAATGGACTCACATTAGAAACACCAGCACCAAATTACAATGTGACAATTTGTCCCTAACCAGTCTTCATATTTGATCCTGCAAATCCTTGCCATTATGCAAAGTCTTTTGACTCAAATAGGCTGACTGTACTAATCTCTGTAATAATTTTATTTATTTCAATAGAAAAATATACAGGTAGTAACACATAATGTCACAGTAACATCACACTGGGAACAACAGTAACTTCACATGAGGAGAAACTGACTCTCACAGAGTTTTCTGTGGCTGAGGAAACCAAGTGAAATTAAAGATGTGAATGTCATCTTCACAAAATTATTTCATTTCTTTGATAGTACTCTTCCACAAATTACTAATTAAGCATATACAGCCTATCCTCAGGAGTATTATTCCACTTTAACAAAAGGATCAGTGTTCATTTTGAGGACAATTTTTATTATGTGCAATTTTATGATAACTATCAAACACTTTTTCCCCATAAAAATAAAGAGAACACCTTAAATTTCTCTTCTGGAAGTGATTTTGATGTGGATCCTGGGTCAAACTGCCATTCTGCCATAGATTTTAAAACAGCATTTTCATTTGAAGTAGACTTGTTCAGTATATCAAGAAGAGATTGCCAGTAAAAAGCAGCTTCCTCAACTTCAGTTTTCTTTATCTTCCTAGAGAACAAAAAGGGAACTGATGTATTCTTTGTGTATTATGGAGGCCGAAATATTAAATATTCTTTATAATACAATTACTAAGTTGTTTAAAAATGCCTACTTAATATTTTTACATATGATTCATTATTGTTTGAGTTCTAGAATTGCACAATTAAGTGAAGTCTCCACAGAAGTAAAAATTCTGAAAGGTGGATTACCCAGATTAGAAATATTGCTCTGATGGGAGTCATCTTTAATCTATGCATCTACCTGAACATTCCTTACACCACAGAAAAACTGTGGTTCAAGTGTCTCTCATTCCTGATGTCTGCTAAGAGCTCTCTATAGCCACAGCTGAATTCCCATTAAAGCTGTGATAACTCTTTATGGCTGAGTTAGAATAGTATCTCAGGAGATTATATTCCTTTTATCCCTGGAGAGCCCCTTCCAGATGGTTTGAGAGTGATAAATTTCACTGTGGGTGAAACTTCTCAGAAGATACTCCTACATCTTGTGCTGCAACCATACCCAAAGTGCAAGGCTTCTCCTGAGCTAGGAAGACCAGACCACCTCTAAAGATGAGAGGAGTGATTTTATTTCTATCCAGTTCTTCTCCTTACTTGGAGATAAGAAAAAGGAAGTCTGGAACACAAATGGATGCAGAAATTTGTCTGTCAGGATACAGGAATTGACACTGTCAACATTGATCTGCCTCTTTATACATACTTCCATCTCAGACACACCAGAGCACCATCGTTTTCATCATTAACGAGGATGAAATTGCCATCCAGTGAAAACATCACGGATCTGATTCCCCCTCCTTGATATGAGTGACAAGGCTTTCGAGCAAGTATATCCTAGAAAAGTCATATGAGCAGTATCAGCAAATCGGTTTTTTTATCGGTTTTTATGTCTGTAAATTACTTTTAATATTTAATTTTAAAAAATATTTTAATGTTTCTTTATTTTTAGATAAAAGTCAGTCCAAAATGGCAATACAAAGTACGTAAGTTCAAAGGCTTTGATTACAGATGTGGCTAGTTTGTATATATTGATTTTGCAGGAGATGAGGAGTAGCAAAATTATCTCCTCTAAGATTTGCTGAAGAAGAAAGTAAGTAGTCTGTATGAATGTACACATGTTCATTATAAAAACAATTGTCCTGTATAATGCTATGTCAGTTCACGTTCAACATGATTTTTTCTGGACCACCTTATATTCAAGGAAAGAAAAGTTTACAATGAAGGAAAGTAATTTTGACACCTCTTTGTCTCTGTAAAACAAACAAAGCGTGTGCCCAGACACCCACTTACCATAGTAGAAATATTGTAGATAAACAGAACACCATCTTTTGCTGCTGCTGCCAGCCACTGGCTGTTGGGTGATACACAGAGGAAACCTGATCCAAACTGATTGCTAGGAATCCTCTTTTCTGATGAAAATACTGGTGGATCTTCCAACATATTCTGCCAAACAAACAAAATGTTAGCAGCAGTTTAGATGATGGAAATCTCTCTGCCATTTTGAGAAGACTAACGAGGGCTTTGTGGATTAGCACATGCATTGCAATTTAAGATGCTGCTGGATTACTGAGCTCAGGGAGCAGTGCTATTGCTATGCTGCTGATTTGCTTCTCATCTCTTTCAGAAGGGTCTATATTCATTATGTTTGGGCCTGGAGTTTCTTGGCTCAGAAAGGATGAGACACATCAGGGAGAAATGCTGACCTTTGGAATTCACCTTCTTACTTGACTTGACTCTTAAACTGGAGGAGACCTGAGCTGCAGAGAGCTGCAGTTCAGCTGCAGGCAGTGACAGTGGCTTCCTGAAGCCTCCACTGCTTCACTGTGAGGCAGGGCTGGGCTGGGTTTGCAGTTGCATCTGCGAGTCCTGGGCTCACGTTGGCTCAGTTCCTTCACTACCTGGATATCCTGGCTACTCAGCAGATGCAGAAATGCACAGCTCCAGCACAGAAGCCACATGTGAAGTGCCTACAAGCTGTACAAATTTTAAGAACCAATACAGTAGAACAAGGAGATGGCTTTTGCCAGGTTTCTGAGCAGGTGGTAGGAGACTGAAAGTTGATGAGTATAGATGGAGTAGGTATTTTTAGTGGAGAGGATTTCATTAAGATAAGATTCTGCTATATTCACTTCATCTACATCCTTTGTTTGCTGGTATTTAACCACCACTCAAAATAAAGCAACTCTAGAGAATTACCTCTTCAGAGAGATGGTATTTACAGATGAAAGGTGCACAGGTAAAGTAGCCATACACAGTGTTATCCTTCAATTTAACCGCTGAGCTCAAAGGGTAATCCAGCTCATACTGCTTCTTTTTAAAGGCACTAGCATTAAACATTCCTTGGTCATTCACACACTTATCATTATCTAAAAGATCGAAAAAAGAAAGAGGGAGGAAGAGTTATCACTACCACTAATGCAGGTGCTTTGCCTATCACATAATTATGAAAATGATTCCCAGCAAGAAATGAGCATGATGTGAGTTTTCAGGGAAGTGATTGGGAATTAAGATACTTAGATTTAACACTAACTCTGTGTGTTGTGCTGATGAAGCACACTGAAGTGAAGCAGAGCAATAGCTCTAGTGTCTCTAAAGAAGTACTAGAAACAGTTTATCCACAGTGATGTGACAATTTGCATACAGTAATTTACCCTGCATCATGAGCATTACGCCAGCAGTGCTAATTAGTTTGCATGCAGGGTCATGTCATTGTTGCCTTCATCTAGAACTTGTTTTAGGCATCTCTGCCATGTGGAACAAACAGCCTGGGTGATATAGGTTAAAACAGTGACATTCACATCTTCAAAGGGGCATTTTATTCTTTTTGGTTCTTTAATTTGAGCTTTAAAGGGACACCTGAAATTAAGGCTGATAAAACACCTGATATTAAGCCTGAAATTAATACAAAACTTGTTGATTTTCAGCAACTTTGAAAATCAAGCCCCATTTTATACGTCTAAAAATAGGCAAAAGAAGCCCAACAACAGTGAATATTTAAAGAAAATACTAACTTTGTTGAAAACTACTTTTTAAAAAGTTTGTAAGCTGGAAGGCCTTTTAAAAATCAAATAACTAGAAAATCTGACACTAGGCTTTTTGCCTTAGAAAAAGATCACAGTTTTTATTTCAATTCTTACCTGTTGTGATTGCTGAAGAGAAACAAAAAATTTCCAGTCTTGCCCGTTGGACCTCTGCTCCATTAAGAAGTACCATTACTTCAACTAAGTCATTCTTAAGGTCAGAAACTACAGAAAGATCGAGCACTTCATCTGCTAACACTGAAGCAGGCAAGGAACACCAATGGAAATTGTTACTGAAGCATGGTAACATTATTTTACTAAGATTTCAAGTGAAACAAAACCAGACCCCTGTTCTGAATAAACCCCTGCCCAACCACTTCAACCTGGTTTCAGGAAGTGCTGCATGCACACAACTACACCTGAGGCATTGGCTGCTGAGAATCCCTAAGCACCAGAGTGTTATTATTACATTAAACATTCAAATCTGAGTTTACATCCAGTTTGAATTATAGCAATTTGGAGGCTCTCTGCTGATAACTGCCAGATAAAGCACAGACAAATCCTCCTCTAAGAAGCCAGACAGACAATGAGAACATGATCAGGAAAATTATGAAAATTATTTAAGGAGATATAATTCCGTTTGTTAAACCTATTATAATATAATGTCTTTTATACCTAAAATTATGCTAAAGATCTATAAACACAGCTGAGATCTGTAAGAATAATGTTACTGGAATTGAAACAGACATGTTCTGTAAGAATAAAGTTATTTGAAAAATAAATTTACAAATTTCACATATTTTTTCTGAGTTAAAATTCCATCATATTTTATTCTACACTATCAACAAGCAAAGCTGACAATTTCAGCAGTGCCCACGTTAAAGATGTCTGCGGTGGAAATTTGTAACAGGAGATTGCACACAGCTACCTCAACCTACAGTTTTTTAGTCTAAATTCTCACAAAGGTCTTCAGTTCTTTGCCACCACTATTACTTTTGTGCTGGAGCTGTCATCAGCTGGTCAGCCAATCCATTCTTTTCCTTGTGACTCATAAAAGCTCTGGAAGAAGGGTAGTATTGGTACATTTGCTATCTAAAATTACAGAGAAAAAGAAAAAATAACAAAAAAAAGACTGGCCTGGACAAAATAGGTGGGAAGAATATCTTTGATCCTCCAAGAAAATAAGTATAATGAAGGAGAATGCCTTAATCTGATCAGCAAGTACACTTAAATTACAGGTAATAGTGAAAAGAAAATTAATGCTGTTACATATATTACCTATATACCCCAGAACTTGGAATAATTTTGATGGTCGAGCATCTAGAATAAAGACATGTCCTTCTGTAGTTCTTGCAATGAGGAACTGGCCACTCTGATCATAACTAGGTAAAATACAAACCCAAATAGAAATCAGTTCAAAACAGTCAGTAAAGAGTCAAATAATTTTACTTCCATGACTTCCTAACGTCACTGAGAGCATAAACACAGCTGAAGTCCATAACTTTAAGCAAATGAATAAATAACAAGGGTAACAAAAATCCACCATATAAGAAGAGATTACCAAAAGGCTTAAACTTAACTTCACAAAACCTCAAATTTATATTCAGTGAGAAATAACCCTCTAAAGTCAGATACATGGGATTGTCCATAATTACTGCGTATGGTGATCTTTCAGAAAAATATCTTATACATCAGTATCTTCAGTACTCAGTTAAACCTTCTTAAAATACAGATTTCTTATATTTCTCTCATATAAATCCCGCTACTACTCCTCTTGCAAGCAGTTCAGAAGATGATAGAAAAAAATAGAAGGTGTTAAAATATTTTAATTTGTTATTCTTAGAACAAAGACTTCAATTTTCAACTAATATCATTACTCAAGCAATAAACCCACAATATTCCTACCCTTGTAACTCCATACTTACTGCAAAGACAGCACTGGAAAGTTGGAAAGAAAAATTCTGTGAATAACTCGTGGAGCTTCAGCTTTGGTAACATCAAGGAAATAGATTTGACCTCTTTTGGTCCCTACAGCAACACTGTTGGAGGAGGGACAGCAAGCCAGAGCAGTTGCCTAGTCAAGAAGAAAAAGACATTTAACAGTTCCACATATTTTTATATGTTATGCTATGTGTTAGTATGCAATTTCTTTTGCTATTTGAAGGTACCTAAAATTTGAAGCAGAAAACCCAAATGGTTTATCTAAAAACCAATTTTTTTTAACAAAGAAAGTATTTTAGAGACATCATAGGAATTCTACTTATGCTCTGTAGCTACACATCAAAAGCTAATTCTGTTCTTTTCAGGAAAAAGAACCCCACCATTATATCCACTATCCAGATTTTAAGTGAAAGAAGTTTCACCTAAATAAAATAGTGAGTGTACTGTTATACGTACAGCTGTTACAGAAAGTGATTTTTTTTCTTACTATGTCAGATTTCAGGGTTTAAATGTATCTTTCATGAGGACAAAGCATTAATAGCTCAAAATACTTTTATCAACTCATTTCTTAAAACCTCTTTTTCATATCAGTCAAGGCATTTAGTTTTTATACTCTTTAAACTTTTCTGTTACTCATTAAAATAAAAAAATAATAAAACATATCATAAAAAAAAGCATAAAATTTTAGACGTTATTTACAAATTTGTGCCTAAAGACACATCACTAGAACATTTGGTTGAAATGTTTCCTCTGCTTTATGGTCAAGTTAAACACATGATTAGTTCAAGGAAACATTCTGAAATATAATATTTTTTAAATCTCATTCATGGGTTGTTCAAAGACATTACTGAGCTTTCACCAATTATTGATCCAAATCTGTGCCATATTATGCTATCAATTGAAAAATATTTTAAAAAAGTTAAGTATCAGTCACTATATAAGCTCCTGGTTATGTGTACCTCAATATCAAGGTTTAGCTTGCCAAGGCAAGTTCCATCTTCCAGGAGCCAAACTTGTACTTCACCTGAAATTGTTACAGACTGTTGAACAGAGAAAAACATAGTCAAAAGAGGATGAAATAACCAAATAGTTTGGAAGTGACTAGTGATCTTCTATAGAATATAAATTCAGCTGATCCCTGAGCATAGCAGATCAAGGGTTACAGTTTCACTTGAGATTATCTAGTTTTTCCTCTAAGTCCAGTTGCTGAAAGGTACACCTACCTAAGGAAAACATTTAGTAATTTTTATAAATTGTTGCAACTACAGGAATGGTCTTTAGCAGAATGAGACAATTTAGGACAAAACATATAAGCTGGATCAATATCAGCATTTCTACCTTTCTGCCAGCAATAGAACAACCTGCTTACAATTTTCTTTGCATAGTAAATAAAGGGCTTGAGGAGAGGTCTTGTTTTCTCACATGAAAAATGATGCATATAATGGTACTTGAGTTCTTCTTATATCCAGGAAATTTTTTAATTCCACAGTAAAGTAAGGCTAGAGATCACTCAACCCTCACATGACTCACACAGAATCAGGTAAAATTTACTGTTCCCATGCTAATGGCAACAAAGAGATTCAGCCAACTCAGTTGACTAAGACCTCAGGTTTCCTAGGCTGGCCACTTGAAGGATTCCTGGCCTGAAAATGAATTGCTGGATAAAATATATGTCTTGCAGGAGTAAAAGACATAGGAGGAAAGCAAAGTATTTCTTAGAATGGACAGATCCATGAGTAAGGCCTTCTTTGTCCCTGGACCCAGGATAGAGGTATCTCTCAGGATGTTCCAATTTGTGCAAAAGGCTGAAAAGATCAGTAGAAATTTCTTTTTCCGACATCAGTTCTCTGAATTGAATCCACCTTTTGCTCAGCTATCTTCCCAAACAATAGTAAATCACACAAATCAGCAGCAGAACATATACAACATTTTAGCAATCCATAAATTATCCAACCTGCACTCCAGGGCAAATTCTGACCCTTTTATAGGCTGTACCTGAATTAATGCCATTTACTTCCTTAATAAGAAGTTATACAACTGTAACAAATATCAGAACCATCCCAATTCCGCAAGGCCTGTACTTTTGTGCCTTTCCACATATTGGTTACCTGGAAAGAGCCACTTTTCTATAGAAAACAACACAGTTTCTTACCACACAGTACTTGTTCCCTGGAGTAAGAAAATCAGCTGCCAGAAAACAACTGCTGCATGTGTCCAAAAGTTTGACAGCTTCTCCACTGTGGGCAGGTTTGTAACTATAGACTGGTCCCTGATAAATAAAGAGAAATGGTCCATCACTGGGCTATGAAATTTTTCATTAAAAGCTTTCAAAGACTTCAAAAAACACCCATCTTTATGAGCTTCACTCTTTGAAGTTTTATATTTGACTCTAAATTGAGGTAAAAAGTGCCCAGTAGGATTCTTCTGAATTTAGTGAATTATATTAATTTATGCTAGCTGAAGATGAGATTAGTTCATTTTCGAGTGATCCAGCTAGTCACATTTTCAAGTTTTGTTTCTCAAAACTGCTTTAATAAAATAATGTAAACCCACTCAATTTCATGTTACTCCAGAAATCAATAAATCTTCTAAACCAACACAAAACAAAAATCATAAATCTTTAGCTTTAAAAGATGTTTTTATCTAAATATCTTAAAGACTCTTAGAAACAATTTGTAACTAATATTGACAAAGATTTTAGAACTTCTCTACTCATTTTACAAAAGGAGAATGAAATCAGAGAGTGTGAGCAGTTACCATTGCACTGCTGTTCTGTACACAAAACCTCACACACACAACTACAAAAACAGTTAAAGAGTTTTAAAAATGACAATTTAAGTTATTTACAGTCTGGGAAAACAGGTAGAATTTGAGTATTTGGGACCCTTGTGTAAGATTTCTGGACATCAGGCTGGTTAAAGAAGGATCTTGGACTGGGTTGCCAGACAACTTTATGCACATGTGGAGAACAACTACTGCAGAGTCACAGTAGGTCTGATATACCCCAGCTACACTTTTCTTCCTGTGCAGGCACACATCAACCCTACAGTTCATGCCCAGTAGGTCCTCTATGACCTGGACACACGGGAGACCTGACCATGTACTCCACTGTGCACACAAGGATTTCTTTCTGTTGGGAAGTCTCAACGTTAGGCACTTTATATTCAACCATCTGTAGGAGGCAATTGTTCTGTGCTTCATTAAAAGTCTTCCCAATTTTTAGTAAAAACACAGAATGGACTATGTCCATCTCTCATATAATTTGTTGACTTGTGTGATTACATTAGACATTTCATACTAATAGTATCAGTATACACATAGAGAATCACAGGAACATCCCAGTATGTAGTGCTATTATCTCAAATGCTATACCTGGTCAGTGACAAGCAGAAGACTGGCGTAATCAGGAGAGAATATGAGGCTAGATATGGATTCTGAGATATCAGCACAGACTTTCATCTCATACTGCAGATCTTTGATGTGATAAAACAATAAAATGCCATCCTGTGCAGAAAGGTACAAATCCACATGAGGTCTATGTCACTTATACTATCTGGCAAACTGAAGTGCAAGAATTTCTGAAAATCTCTGAAGTAGCAATGTTTAAGTGAATCCCATCACTAATGCTCCCATTTTTCTTTAGCATCTCTAAATCCGAAGGACTCTTACCCTGGATAATAAATCTATTGAAAACAAAGGTGTTTTTTAATACAATTCTTAGTAACAGCCCATGTTTGATAACAACAGACTCTCTCATCAGCTAATAGTTAAGATTTCATATTGTTCTTTTTGAGACAGAATAAGAATTTGTCCCACTCTTAAGCAGGAATGTACAATGACATTGTCACATTGGTTAGATATTGAGTTAGATTTTGCACAAAACAATTTGGCAGTTCTCTTGGCCATTTTGTCTCCTTTTCTATATTTTGTCCATCCTTCTATCTGGTTCCTCTACAGTATTCTTAGTCTTTTGTTAAAAACAGGATTGTCCTCTTTTGTTGCTTCTTTGACTACAAAACTGGAATCTTTTCACACACTACTCCCCTGTCTCAAGTCTTAACAAAAAAATATAGACAACACCAGACCTTTATAGTCCTGCAGCCCTTCACTTTTTCTATCTCCTGTTTTTGTGGTGAACTCTGCAAATATGCTCCATTTCAATGTTCTTTGATCTTCACACAATAAGAGTAAGTTAAAAGCATAAAGGATGCCTCACCCTTCCAGCTGCGTATAGTCCTTCATTACAAAATGCCATGGAAAATACTGGGTTTTGCCGATCACTTAGTTCGCCACCTGAAGGCACAAAACCAACAAAAATTACCAAATTTAATTTTTTTTTTGTACTGGGAGCTCAAAACAAAGTGTTTGAAACAAACCCTAAATCCTACCTCCAATAAATTATAAGTGATTGCAGTTCTAAAAAAAAAGTTGCTAAAACAAAGCAGTAGGGAACCTATTCTAGCATCACTTATTCCAATTTAAATGAGAAAGAACAGAAATTATTCCACTGCCACTGTTTCTCCTGAGGTTTTAATTTGGCTGCCTATTAGCACAAAAGCTATTAATCTTTTGTCATGTAAACACACATAAGATTGCCAACAGTGTGTCTTACAGAAACCAGTGTGAGATGAGTTTTCCTAACCAGCTGTACTCACATATTATTACTCCCAGACATCAGTGGTGCTGCCCAAAAATCTATTAGCTTGATTTGAACATGGAAATACCTTTCTTTTTCTGTACTTCTCTACGAACATATGACACCACATCCGATATTTTCTGCATGTACTCTACACAAAAGAAAACAATTTATAATGTCAATCTTGCTTGTATGTCAATATTGCAATCAAAGTCAGTTGTATTCCACTCTACTGAACAAAGGCCAGGTTCAGTATACTATATTAAAAATGTGCATTCTTTCCCAATATCTATCATTTCTGCCATCTATGCAACAGAGCAAGCACAGTTCTGTGATTCAGCTTACAGTTGTAAAAGGGAGATAGCAATACTTGCCACGGAGAGTGGCACAGATGCAGATTTATTTTTCTTCTAGTGTTAAGTTATGGTATTGCTATTTCTAACAATGATTTTTTAAAAAAATTTGATATACTTACAAAGGAGACTTCAGCCAGTCTGAAAAAAATGCTCAAGTGAAATGTTGGGGCTGCTTATGAATCTGTTTGCAACATCATAACAGGAATTAGGCATGTGCTTAAAGATGGACATGCACTTAAGCATTCTGCTAAATAGATACAGATTGCAGTATGTTTTAAATTAAGCAGAAGCTTCAGTATAATATAAATACAGACCATCTTTTTATACAGTTTTAGGACAGGTCTTAAAGAAGAATATCCTCATGGCTAGGCTTCGGGAACGAAGATTAAGGGAAAGAAGAATATACGGGCCAAGAAAAAGCCCAAATGGCAAATATTCCTGTTGCCTTCTACTCAAGTGGCAAAAACCAGTTCTGGTCATACCTCAGCTTTTTATTTTTTGCTGATTTTCAACTCTTGATTTGCTAAATTTAACACTGATAGTTTCGAAAAGAGAAATAATGCTGGTTTGTTGTTTGGGTTTTTTTTTAAAGCAGCCTTCCATTTTGGTGATAACTATCAAAAGTGAAAGCCAGGGATACTTGCTACAGCTCAAAAAATTATGAAAAAAATTACATGAAAAAAAGAAGAAAATATGATGGGGAATACATATAAGGCAGACAAATTGCCTTGGCAGGTTGCAGTCAATCACAGGTCCTCCCATTCTAGAATAAATTAAAAGCAGATTTCTTTGTTTGAAGCCAAAGACATCTTCTGTTCACTCCCTATGTTCATATGTTCTGCAGTAAAGTCTTAGTAAGAGCTGACATTAAGGAATGCTATTAAGCAACACTACTTCAGTTTTGTTGTTTGAAGACTCATAATGAGTCCTCAGAGATCACTTCTAGCAACACCTAACATAGCAAATGAAGATTATCCAATATTTCATGAAAAATAAAATAAATTATTGGTGTTTAACTAATAGTAAAAAGACTGTGTCTAGCTGCTATACAAACAGTTTAATGGTAATCTAGTATGGCTGGTTAATACAATCTGGCCTCCTGGAAATACAGTTACTTTTATCAATTTTGATGTACTTAGAGGGATTTTTTCTTTTCTCTCTTTCTTTTCTTTTTTTTTTTTTCCAAAGAAAAACAGAAGTCAATTATTGGGAAAGAATTGACTAAAGAAACGCACACAGAAGCTCAAAAGACATTCTCAAATGTTTACTATACTAAGAAAAGAGAAGAGTTCTGCAATATAGCTTTATAATTTCCGTAAGGTACACAACAGGACAACAGAAGAAAGCACAAAAAGCTTTTATCTGTCCACTTTCCTCCCTACTTGAATAAAACACACATAGCTATTTCTTACCAGGTGGGGGTTTTGGTTGAAGAATAGAAACTCTGTGTTTGTCAGCATCAATTGCCAAAATATATCCTTCTTTACAGCCCATATATATTTCTGAGGTTGCAGTCCAGCAGTGGGCAGTGGGATGCACAGAAGTCTTAATACTATTTCTAGGCTTCAGCATGAAAATAGACAAGTTCAATCAACAGTTGACAAATACCTTTGCAAGCAGTTACATTCATTTCAAGGCAAAAGAAAACAAGATCATTACCTCATAAAGTCTGACCACATAACCATGTGGTTCTTGCATACTTGGCACTACTAAAACACACTTTGTTTGAATAGCTTATTTTATTGTATAATCCAACTTGCTCTGTAAAACAGCTCTTTCATCCTTTGTGTCATCTGCAAATTAATGCTAGAAATATCCCTGACCCAGACTTCCTATGTGCCTTGAGCTTCATTTTGCTAAAAAAACTCTCATAAATCTGTCAACCATAAAACAGGAAGAACAGAACTTCTCCACCAAATATTATTAAAGACAGAGAGTGACCTGTTCAGATACAACAGTAACAGGGGTCATAAAAATACCATGATAGAAAGAACCAAATTAAAGAGAATTTGGAGAGAGGAAGAGGGGAACAAAACACAGGAAAACCTTGGGAGAACATTTAAAAGAGATGATTCAAAGCACCATACACGTGTGCCAAACTGGTGAGGAACACTAAACAATAGGATGGATGAAAAAAAGATGATTCTATAATTCTATAAAACACCTGCTGGGTCACTAAAGGTTCTATAAAAAAGAAAATATGGATGGACTTGTGATGAAAACATAGGATAGAGATTCACAAGTACCTAGACTGGAATAGCAATATATGCCAAGGATTTGCTATATGATTCTGGGTAAGTAACTTACTCTTTATGCTTACAAAGCATTTTTAATTTCTCAGGGGAAAAATGTTACAGAAACAAAGTATATTAATATTTACTTTATAAATCAAATAGGACTAACAGTAATAAATCTGTAGCAAATAAGGCTTTACATCACCCAGAGAAACATTTAATATAGGCATTTTCACTGATTTTATGAGGCTTGAACATCACAAATCTTTGGGAAGGTTGTAACTGAACTTCTGCAAAACAGAAGCTCCCTGTGTAAACACAATTTCTGTAATGTTCTTTTGTACCTGTTGTCTTTACACATTAACTAGGTAAAATATGCTAATCCTAGGATGAGATTATGTAAATCCCAAACCAGGTTGCTTCTTGAACTGTGCATTGGTACAGTGGTGCATAATAATAATAATCATAATGCTGTCTTTTTTTGAACTTCTCTCCCTTTTGAGTAGCACCTCTTCAGGGAAAAAAAAATCCATGATGGTTCCTTGCCATCAAAAAGTTTTATAAAAAGACAGTGGAATAAAATTGGTGGTAGAGATGAAGTGGATTCAAGTGGGCTTGTCATGGAAAAGCATATTAAGAAAACTGAGGTGCCAGCTTTAAGAAATACAGAAACAAAACTAAATCAATCTAATGCAAGAAAGAAAAGCTGTAGGATATTTCAATTTCTTTCCTTCTGCTGCCCCACTGTGGTTACACTTGGGTACATATCCAACCCCAGTATGTGGTTCTAGAGTATGGAACACTGACACATTTCCAAGAAGCAAACAATCACACCAGCAATGGGCTTCCTTTTCTTGCTTGCCTCTCACACATTCCTTAAGAGCAGGATACAGCCTCCAAGGGCCAGGGAATACAGCTTACTCCTTTCAGTAACAGTCTGAACACACCTCATTCACCACCACAGGAGAAGTAGGTTGTCTTCTACTAACTGAAGTAGCATTGACGATAGTAGAGAGGAAAATAACTCCAAGGTATTTCCAAAAGCGGAGGAACAGATTTTAGGCCAGAGCCAGATAACTGCTCATGGACATTTGTACTGGTATACAAATCATCAGTGACAGTAACCATTGACAGATCTGCCATAGCAGCCTGTCACTTTATAAAGACAGTGAAGAACAGTGGTTATAGCACCTCTATTTTGGACAGCCTGGTCCATTACAGCAACTGTAGTCTGAAGATATCTGGCTATCAGAGGAACTCAGCAATCAATGGTCTTAATCTTAGAAGAGAATTCCAAATTTGCAAGTTAAATGTTTTCACACTTCTAGTTGGTAGCCAGGTGAAAGTAGATTTCAAACAAAATGAGAACACTTTTGAAGCCTCTCAAAAGAGGCATTTCAAGGGAGGCTAAAAAGTAAATGATCTAATACAAGTGAGACAAATGGCCATGTCCAACACTGACAGTGGTATGGAAAGCTATTTCAGAAGCAGGGGTTGCTGTCTGGAATAAAGCCTTCAATGTTTCCATATCTTGAGACATTTTGAAAGTAAAAAAGAAAGCAACCCCAAAGGGAATTAAGGATACCTGAGGGTTACTAATAGTTTAGCATAAGAATAGGTTTTCAAGGTTTCAGCAGGTTATGTTATCTTGGGAATAGTTAAATGCTGACACACTTCATGTTTCTTCTGGGATACAGATTCGTACCTCCACTGCAGATACGTTACTGTGCTAGGGCCTGTGTCAGAAATCTCAACATTGCACTGCACTATGCAGCAGCATTGTGCCTTCTCCATCTCCTGTCAAAATGGATTTCAAAAATATTGCTGAGATAACAGATCTATTTACTGGGTTGCACCTATTTAACAAACATTAAAATTATTAATTTATTAACACCTATTTGCATAGAAAGTATAATGACTTGGAACAGTAAAAAGGAAAAATTTCAATAAGTACCACGAATGTTTCTGCTTCATCTCCTACCAGTCCAGCAATGGCTGAAACTGGCAAGTCAGGGCCATGGTATGGATCATCACTACGAGAAACGGGGAAAAACAAATCCTCATGAGGACTTATGGACCCTTGTTCATCAGGGAGTTCCACAGGGCTGTGAAAAAGTAAAAGACACTGTCTGAGGAGCAGAAATATGTATAATAAATGCTGATACAAAATAGAGAAATATGTTTTCAAAATGGGCTTTCTTTCTGCAAAAGTAATGGAGAAAAAGTGAATATGTATATATATATAAATATTTACACATGTATTCTGTAATGAGAAAAGGCACAGAACCCTTCAGTGTTCTTTTCAGATTGCAAATTAAGGCCTTGTCTATACTTTCATTAGTATAACTGTGTCAGTGGCAATATGTTGCTCATATTAATAGTTAACAAGATTAAACACAGTTGGGAATGGCAGAGTATGAGAATGCCACTGAAAAAGCGAAATACTTTGAGGACTTCAACTTGAATGATACACACTACTTTTATACCAACCTCAAAAAACATTTTAGCATACAGAAATACTAGTTTAGTGTGCTCAGTGAATTGCATTGACAGAGCCACCCTCTCTGGACCTGTAAATTAGCCACACAAGTTGGAAATTACATGGAAAACTGATACTGCTTTTGGTACAATTTGTGATTACAACAACATGTTGTTTAACTATACTTAGAAAGAAGACACGAATCCAAATTTGATGTTGTCATAGCCACAAAAGCAATGCTCAACATAGCTACTTACAGAAGAGCAGAGCAGGCACTACCTTGATTCAGCCACGCAGCTTTTCATGGAGGCTGCCAAAGCAGCTGATTAGTATCAGCTTCATGGTGTGCATAATCCAGTCATGTGAGTGGTAAGAAATGAAATCATAAATTCTATTCACTCGATTGACTAGACAGATTCATAGTGCTTGTGATTTAGCAATTACTAGATGAACTGTATTGGACTAAATCCTTTGCAAATAGATGTGTTGCTAGTCTTAGTTATTAAAATATACTTCTATATTTCACTCTCAACCTAAAGGGTGTTTCACTTACTTTCGCTTAAGGTGATGCTCGTCCTCAATCCTTTCAATGTGCCAGATGGTAACGGAGCTCTCCCCAACAAAACACAGTTGTTGCCAATTCATAGGGTTAAAACTTAAAGAGGTCGCTGTTATCCCTGGCTGAGACTCACTGCACAGGAGGATATTTTCTTGCCAGTTCCTTCATTAAGGAGAGTAAAAGAAAATAAAATCCATTAAACAAGTAAAAACATTCAAGCCAAAGATTTGGATGTGATTATGACTGACATTCAAGATTCAGTTTGGAAAACAAATACCTCGTCACTGACAAAAAATTGCTGCTGCCAAACAAGTTGAGTCCTCTTGAAAATGAAAAGGATGTGGTTAATTATCCACACATAAAATTATTACTGCTAGAAAATTAATAACTAACATTTTAGAAACATTATCATGCACTTCCTCTTCTGAAAAAACCAAGAGTCAAGAGAAATGGATTTTTTTTTCAACAGTTCCATCAGTGACTACTCAAATGGGCCTAAACAATTAACTCTTCAGTACCCCAGCCTTGCTTAACACCTCCATAACATAATGACTGAAATGCTTGCAGCGGGAATAATTAGGAAATAAAACACAGCCTGTGATTACCCAAGGATTAATTACTTGGTTAATGCAGTAATTTTGTTGTGAACACAGACATACAAGCTATGGCTGCATTAACTAACTTGGGCACAAACCAGGGTAGAATTTGTGTGGAGCTGTTACGTATAGCTGACAGAGGCCTGGGAATCTGCTTTCCACTGACTTCTCCTTTGTCCAGTATATTTTATGTTTTGTCCACAGCTATTTTATGTTCTCCTCATGTAATTTGCATGTTTTTCCATTATCCAGATTCATTCTTGATTGTGTTTGCATTTTTAGGTGCTGTCCAAGAACTGATTAATGTCACTTGAAGAAAACAGTTGAAACTGTTTCTTAATTTCTTGGACAATATATCTGACTGTTAATCTAAATAACATTTATAACTTCAGTATTAGTCATTATTGGTGAGAGGAAAAAGCCTAAAATGCATACTCTGCTGTAAATGGATTTAGTATAATCTCATTATTCTGGCCTGCAATAAATTCACTCACAGAAATAGATTAGGATGTAAGACAATTGTTAACATTGACAGCATGTGCAAAAAAATGAGAAGTATTCCCACGTATACAATAACCCTCATTAAAATTACAGGAATCTATAAGCTGCAATTCTGAATTTTAAAGATATCAATGTAGATTTCTTTCTAAAACTCTGTCAGCATGTACTCATCTCATACCTAACAGATAATGCCATCCCTCTTTTATAGTAGATAATTTACTAAGATCTGAAACTACATGGTACATGTATCTGAAAAAGAATCTGGCATTAAGGCTCTCCTTTGTACAGAAAATAATAAAGATCTAGGGATAAAATATCTCAGATGAAAGGCAGCTTTTAGTTATCCATACACTTTCTATATTTTGAGACCGACATAACTTTCAAAACATCTCTTATATCTCTGATTCCAAACTAGCTCCTTAAAATGCAGGAGCTGTGCTATCATCATACTGTAATGACACCTTAATGATGCTAAACACTGAGGTTTCTATCATCTGTACACACACATTTCTACAATGAATGCATAATATAATCCAATTACAAAAATGAAGGTCATGATTTCACAGTAAATTCACACATCTCTAAGTTATAAATTCTAAGGTTAATATTGTAAAGTAATTGTATTTTGTTACTAAATTCTTTCTGACTGGAATGTAGGGTGGTTTTTTATGACAATTAGTTGCTGATAGTTGTAACAAACTAACTCAAACTGGTTAAAATTGTTTTGCCTTGGAAATTGCCACTATTTTAAAGCATTTAAACATTTCTAGGCATTTCTGTTTTTAAGAATAATCTAGAGAAGTCTGTCAAGATGGTGGAATTTAGTTTAAGTGCACACAATGAACACATTGGACCAGGTGTGTCATTCCTGCTGTAAGTGACAAATGTGTCAGCTCTTGAGGCCAGCAAGGCTGTCTGGCTGGTTTCCAGTGTGATATACACACAGACATCCTCCCTGAACAGCAAACATTATTCTTCTTCATAAGGGATAAAGAAGAGGCATCTGCAATAGTACCTACTATCATTACTAAAATTCTGAAGTTACAGGAGCAGCTTCACTGATCATTGTACAAGAGAAGATCATTAATTTGAGAGTATACAAACTATTACTTACATGTCCTTGCTCGTCTTCCTTCTACTCCACCCTCCCACTCCACAATCAATGGGAGCTTGCTGGCAATGGAGGCAAGAGCAGGACTGTATTTTCACAGTACAATTAAAATATTAAATATTCCAACTTTCTGTATCTGCACAACATTACATATTTTCAATAACAATAAGCAGAGAATTATGTTCTAATCCAGTAATCCACATTACTGTAATCACTGAGCAAAATTATAAACCAGAATTAAGATCAAGCAAAAGTAATTAAGAGGACCACTGAACAGTCAAGGGGGACAAACCAGCAGAACTCAGCTTTAGAATCCTTTTCCTCTTTTCAGCAGGCAACTTTCTTCCACAAACAGCATGGTGCTCAACTTCCAACAGTGAACAGATAGTTATGATGCTGAAGACTTTGGAAGTACTCCAAAAAACAAAATTTGGAAGAAGGTAGAAGATAGCTCTGGTAAAATTAACAGCCATTTTGACTAATGCTAGAAAATAAACAGCAATTTTGGTTACAGAAAGTTTGCAGACAACAATCAATCAGGAAAAAAAAAGAAAGATGAAGGCAACCATGTGTTCTACATTTATTAATATATGCTAAAAAAGCACACACACAAAAATATGAATTAAATGCAAATGGTATTAGAGATTTTTTTTAAAGCTCTTACCATACTGAAAGAACAAATTCTGGGATGGAGGAGTAACTGGCTAAATACGGGCCTGTGAAACTAAACGCAAGTAAGGTGTAGTCCAGCTGAGCACTACCTGAAATGTAAAAATAAAGCACACGGTCTTTTATTGCCCCAGACTTTATTGTACATTATCACAAATACTCTTCTCACTTCCCTTATATCCACTTTAATTCTTCAAAGATATCCTTTAGGCCCTTGATTTCTCTGCTTCACTCCAGACTATTCTTTGGATTTGATTGTAAAAATGTTCCCTATGTATCACTTCTTGGATTTTTTTCAATTTTTTCTTTTGATAATACTTGAATTTGAAAGTATTTTTCCTCAAGTATCCTGAAATCCTTTGCAGTCATAATATCACTCATATACATGAAAAAAACAAGTAGTATGATCTTTATTTAAATGACAAGGGAACTGAAACATGGATAGGGTAAGCAACTTAACTAAGGAGGGAAATGTTATGAAGTAGGCAAAAATCTACACTAGATCCCAGACTTCAAAGTTTAACTGCAAGAACCCTCATTGCTTTCACATCTCGGGTTTCTCATGTGGTTTTCAGCAGTCTGCTTTCGAGCCTACTGCAGTATGATTTTTTTTGCTTATTATAACTATATTTTCCTAAAACTAATTCCACTTAATTCCTTTTGTTTTCCTTTTAGATCAGCTTTGTTATGTATTGTCATATTCCTCCCCAGCTTGAACCTAAGTAAAAGCAGTGCAGTGGAAATCTCCTTCCACTGCTTTCCATGAATCTTGTCCTGAGACAGTTCCCTGTCACACTGTTTTTTAAGTCTTATAAAAAAACATAACTTCAGAAACTGGATTATTAAAGTATTGTTTTAATGAAATGGTGATGAGGAAGGTTACCACATCACTACCTTTTAATTCTGTCAGTTTATTCAGTTCTGGAAAATGGTGGATATATATGATGGGGTTCAGCTTCTGGTCGGAAAAGGCCACCACTTCACTGCTGGCATTTGCTGCAAAGGCTCCCACTGGGCCCGTTTGACACTGTAGTGCTGTTGTCTTCTTTGTTTCAACGTCCAGGAAAAGGATGTAATTACCACAGGGGTAGCAGACAGTTTGATTGTTGATAAAGCCAAAGCTCTTGTTTGAGAATCCCTGAACCCAGCTGGAAATAGAGCAACTGAACATTAAAACATTAATCAATGACACATATTTCTCAAAATGCTGTGCTAAAGGCAATGTTGTAGCCTAAGTTACATTGAACTCATGCTTGGGATTTGTAAGACTCATCCTCACAACAATGTCGCAAAACCACAATAACTTCAAGATCTTGCATTATGAGTCACCAATTCAGTGTTTTCAAAAACATAGGGTCAATCTTACCCTCATGGAGCACAACAGACTGGTGTAAGAATATGGAGAAATGCTTGTATATCTTCCAGTTTTCACTAAAAATAAAATTAGTTCAAAGACTCTGGTCTTGTACTTATATATCACAGTAAAGCATATACCCCTATTCTGAAAGAACTGCAGAGCTACAATTTGTACTTGGGACCCTGTTGTGTTTGCTTAACCTTTTTACACTTTCATAGTTCATCTCATCCCCATAAAATAAAAAAAAATACGAAGGCACAGCTTGTGTTTACATGAACCCAACCAGAAGGACTGTTCTGCTTTAAAGACACCAGTATTTTAACATGGCAAAACTCTGGAATGTAAACAGGATGTGTTACACAAGGACTGAAATAAATTACTGAAGCAGAGTCAGCTTATGAACTTACAATATGTCAACAAATTCATAACTACCTGCAGATGTTTTTACCTTTCAGAAATCCTGTGGATAAACATCAAGGTCCTCTAATCAAAGGGATTTATCACTAAGTGAGGATGTCAGTTTAGCCTGCTAGTACCACGGCAGGAAAGTTCCAGCAGTGTAACAGGCACCCTCTGTGCACAACACTGCTGTTACCACTTTCTCTTCTAATTTCCATCTCTGCTCTTCTTCCAAATAAGAGTATTTGACTGGGAGAGACCTTTGTTCTCTGCAATTGCTAGAAGCACTTTTATGCTCCTTTCATGAACATAAGTCAGCCATAAGATCAGCTCAGCTGCTGATCCTTTGTACTCAGATGGTACTACAGCCTGGGCACTCTCATACTTACAAACATATTAAAATTACTAGTCTTGAGATATTTACGTCCAGCAATAACTTCTTGTTATCTTTTCTGAGGACCTTCTGCTCTTGGCTTCTTTTGCTACACGCAAGGGGGAAATGGGAGCACGTGTTTTCTTCCCCTCTCCACCCGCGCTGCCCTGACAGATCCCACCACCGCGGGGCCCCTGTGGAGGCTGTGCCGGCCGCCCCCACCTCACTTCCAGCGCGGCCTCTTCGGCCAGGAGCTCCCGGCCGGGGCCCGACCCCGCCGCCATCGCCCCCGACGCCGCTGCCGCCCGTGCCTTGGCAACAGCAACGGCGTCTGCCATTGGCCAGGCTCGGAGCGCACACCTGATTGGCCCTCGCTCGTGCACCACCCAATCACTGAGCGCGGGCGGGTATTTAAAGGGCCAGCAAGACAGCAGAAGGTACTTCTGATCCTGGCCCGGTGACTGTGGGTTCCTTCTCTCGGTCACCCTGCGTGTCCCTGCTCCTGGGCCGGTGTTATCTGCCCTTCTGTTAGTGGGACAGTTGAACTGTTCTGTCACCTCTTATGCCTCTCCTGGTGGACTTGTTTATGAGGAACACCTCCTTCCTTGGAGATATTTACGAGTTATCTGGATCTAGCGCTGGATTTAGAGGCTTAGGGGCTACAGTAGTCATCATCATGGCTAGGCTTCGCAAATAAAGATTTGAGAAGGACTCTATCCACACTTGCTGCAAATGCGCTGATGGCTAAAAAGGCCAATGCGAGATAGACAAGTCTGGTTGCAAAAGGCACAGTGGAAAGTCTCCCTAGGCGGTATTGGCAAGATGTGATTCTTTCTGCATTGTCTTTTCTCCTCAAGAATGATTCTGCGTGTGTTCTCAAAAGAAGCGCAGCGTTATGTATAGTGTATCTCCATGTCTCCTGATTGGAGGCCAGAATAGACCAATGATGATGATCAATAATGGCCAAGGCTGAGATATTGTTTCAGGGAGTCCTTGTATCTCCTCTTTGGGGCTCCTCTCTTGCAGCAGCCAGTGGCAAGTTCACCATAGAGCACAAGCTTAGGGAAGCGGTGGTCCTTCATCCTGGAGATGTGCCCCGCCCAACGCAGCTGTGTTCTCAGCAACATGGCCTCAATACTCGTAACTGCTGCCTGTTCAAGGACAGATGCATTAGTCACGTAATCAGTCCAGTGGACATTCAGGATTGTACAGAGGCAGCAAGTGGTGGTGGTAGATGATTCAGATCCATATAAAAGAGTAGACAGTACAATGGCTCTGTAAACAGTAACCTTTGTACTTTTCTGCAGGTGTTTATTACACCAAACTCTTTTATGGAATTTTCCAAAAGCACTGTATGCCTTTGCTAACCTGTTGTGTACCTCTTTGTCAATCTTACCATCCGAGGAGATGATGCTTCCCAGATAATTAAACTGCTGGACTGACTTGAGTTCTGATTGACCAATTGTGATGTGGGGATGATGGAAGACTTCCTGAGGTGCAGGTTGGTAGAAAACTTGTCCTCTTCAAGCTGACTTCCAGCCCAAAAAGCTCAGCAGCCTCTGCAAAGCAGGATGTTAAACGCTGCAGAGCTGCTTCTGTGTGGGCAACGAGGGCGGCATCAGCAAAAAGCAGCTCATGGACAAGATGATTTAAAGTCTTAGTATGAGCCTTCAGTAGCCTTAGGTTGAATAGGCTTCCATTGGTATGATATCGGATGTAGATACCATTTTCTACTACAGTGGTAGTGCTGGGTGAACAGTTGGATTTGATGATATTAGATGTTTCTTCCAACCTTAATGATTCTATAAGGTACTACAGTTCTTGGACTCTGTAAGATGGGGCTCCTGAAGCTTCAGAGAGCTGAGAAGTCTGCTGGAAAAAAAAGAGGAAGTACAGCTGTGGTCTTTCCCAGTGTACTTGTGGCTTCTAGCCTGGTAATACTGTAAGAACCTTCAAACATTTAAAAAGCAGATTTAACAGAATCTTCTTTTCTCTTTCCTAAGGGAGGAATGTAATTTATAGTGCCTTGCTTGCTTGTGTTAGCTTGCTGTTACTTAGCTGTATAGTGGCAGCATGCAGTTTTGTAATACTGCTGTGTACTCAGTGCTGTAGAGCAACAGTGGAGCATGACATTCCTGTCCAGAGGCAGCAGGACAAGCCTATTCCTTACCTTTTGTCTCCACAGCTGCTTTGTGTGCCCCACAGAACCAGGAGAGAATGAGGAAGTAGGTTTATTTTCTCTGGTGCCTCTGAGGGCCTGTTGTAGCATGTGGGTGTTGTAATGCTACTCTGGTTTCCCATGTGCCTGTGTCCAGGTTGTGAGTCAACAGACTGCTTGTGTATTTCTTAATTGCTATGAGAAATTTCAAATCAATTTTCTCTTTTTTTCCCCCAAAATTTTGCTGAATCTTTCTTAAGGATAGGTACTCAGAGGAACCAAAAGTCACTAACAGGCAAAACAAGTACGGATCCACTGATGAGACTGGAGAATCCCCAGTCCCTCTATTAGCCTTGGGGGTTTGACAGGGATGTGTACATTGGCAGGAAGGCCAGGACTCTCTCTCCCTTTGGCAAGGGCTGCCCCAGCCCTCTGGTCCCTACAAATGTGCTGTTTCCTAATAACAAAGAGCTCTGACCTTGAAGGTTAGGTGGAAGTGTGTGGAGCCCCAGGAAGGGAATCACTTTACTTCTCTGGTTATATATCAACTTGGACACTGCGTGTAAAACACATTAAGAGGAAAGCTCCTCAACTTCCACTGTTGTACCCCAGGAAAAGACGGTGTAAGAAAGGCCCTGGTGTGCTCATCTCAACCGAAAAGGGAGCAAAAAGGATGATGAGCACTCCAGTCTGCGCTTTGGTTCTTTTTTTTGCTCTATGCACACACTGATGCTCCCAACAGGCCCCGTTTGCAGAACAAGCATGAATCCCTCTATGACTGCAAGGTAGTAACGAAGGTAAATCTAACTTTCGCTGTGCCCCCTTGTCCGTTGGGTTATCTACTGTCTCCTCTTGTGTTTTCACCATGAAGCAGAATAGCTGCAGGAAAGAGAAATCGTCCTTGTTACTGTGGGTTTTGCAGGGCAGTAGGTGATGGAGCACTGCCGTAGCAGGAGGAGGCAACGAGGAGAGCCTGGTGCCTGTCAGCTGCTGAGGGCACTGCTTATAAACAAACACCTGGCCTGCGGGGTGGAGTTCGGCCGTGGGTGTCCCACTTACGCGGGGGCGCCAGCGGGGTGGTTGTGCTGAGGGTATAAGCACAGAGAGGGAGCACGGAGAGCAGCTGGACAGTGCCTGTCCCAGCTGGGTGGGGAGGGCGGTCAGATCAAGGAGAGACACTGGGCAAGTAGTGGGCCGGGCCGGCCGGACCCCCGGGGTGAGAGGGAAGGAGGAGGCGGGCCCTGACCCCCCGCCCCGCTGAGGCGGTGGTCCGGCCCGCCCGGGGCCGCCTCCGCGGCGGGGCCGGCGGCGCTGGGCGAGAGAGGCACGGTGGGAGGAGGCGGATCGCGAACACATCGCATGGTATACGAGATGGCGAACGATCGCTCCCGCAGCCCTGGCAAGGTGAGCGGCGCGGTGCCGGGGCTTGTGGGGGGCGCGGGGGGAGTGCCGGCGCTAACACCCCTCTCCCCGCAGGTAGCGCGGCGCCGGGGCCCGTGCCCGAGGGGCTGCTGCGGCTGTACGGCATGAGGTTCTGCCCCTTCGCGCAGAGGACGCGCCTGGTTCTCCGCGCCAAGGGCATCAGGTGAGCTCTGAGCGGCCCCTGCACCCCACGGGGAGGGGGCGGCCCGACCTTCTCTCCTAAATGGCTCTTGGTTAAAACAGTCCTGGAAGAACTGATTGGAAAGAGGTCTCTGTGAGTGGTTTTGCTCTAAAGCTTTTTTTGGGGAGGGGGGAGAGGGCTGTTCTGAAGCACATGTATTAAATTAACTATGTAAAGGCCCAAAGTAAACTACAGAATATGCTGAGTTGGAAGGGACCCACAAGGATCAAGTCCAACTCTTAGCCCTGCACAGGACATCCCTAAAAGGCACACCCTGTGCCTGCAAGCATTGCCCAAATCCATAGGGAAATTGCCTAGATCTATAGGGAAAAACCCCAAGCTGATTTTTTTTTTTTTCTTCTCGCTGAGTAAACATCCCGAATGTTTACAGTAATAGCATTGGAGCTTATCCTGGGTAAATGTGATTAGAGACATAACATACGCTTTTGTTTGTTTTTGATGAGAGCAGCAGTGGAAGTTCTGGGAGCTACGAATATTCAGTATTTCTGTTGTGTTACTGCCCAGCAAAACACAATAGTTAGTGAGTGGCCTTTTTGAAAGAGGAAATACACTGTGTTCTATAACATGGTTGCATTCCTGTGCTGTAGTGAGTTAATGGAATTCAGTACTTGTGTTTGTTTCTTTTTCAAGATAGCCATATCATTTCAGTGTTCTTAAATGGGGTCCAATGCTTCCCTCAGTCTACAACTTAAAAGTAACAGGTTTTTACATCTTTTTCTGATTCCACCAAGTTGCAGGCCTGCCAGTGGTTTGTTAACCAACGTAGGTCTGGGAGTTCATGTAATGTAGGGAATGCTTACCATTCAGTACTCCTGACAGCAAGGTGAGAGTTGAGTTCGTTTTATTTTTAACATGGGTCTTTTTTTTGAAAGAGTAGATGCAGTAAAACTTCCAGGCCAGTATAATTGTGTCTTTATTTAGTGCTGGGAGGTTTGTTGTAGTGATTCTGGAAGTGATTTATGGCTAGATGTCGTAGTTGCCTTCTGGTAACCTTTCAGTGGTTTTGAAGGTTCAGCTGTGTTTAGCAGACCTTTGGGTTTACTGGGAATTTTGTGGGGTCACACATATAGCACAGCATTTAACCTATGGTTTGTTAATCTTTTTTTATCAGTATCTTTTTGCCTTTACCCTAAACACCTGTTCTAGGTTGGGAAGATAAGTAGGTAGGATGCTCTCCTGATTTGCTCTTTGGTGTAAGGACAGGTTAAAGTTCAGCTGCATTTCTTAATTGAGGTGTAGCTTATTGGCAATAAAGTGTTACTTCTTTAGAATGCCCTTGAACCCACATGTGATAAGTGTGCTGAGTTATGACCTGTGTTTTTAGCATGACAATAAGGACTGCCTCTGTTGTGTGCTTGCAGACTGTGCGTGTCTTTTATTAGTTCAACAAACAACTCATTTTAAGTCAGTCCTGACTTTCTCCAGCAAATTATGGCAGTATTTCTGTATCAAAGGATTAGTCCTGCAAAAGTCTTCAGGGAAAATGGGGGGAGTGCAGGGGAATGAGGATTCAGCCTCTCAGTACTGAACTTTTGAGGTGTAATGGCTTGTGTTTCACCACTGTATGGAGTGGACTGTAGCAGAACTGAGCCTGTCTGGGTCTTGTTTGTTTACCTGTTTTAGCCATGAAGTAGTCAACATCAATCTGAAGAACAAACCTGACTGGTTCTTTGAGAAGAACCCCTCTGGGCTGGTCCCTGTTCTGGAGACCAGCAAGGGCCAACTGATCTGGGAGTCCCCAATCACTTGTGAATATTTGGATGAGGCATTTCCAGAGAAGAAGCTGATGCCTTCAGACCCATATGAGCGAGCCCGTCAGAAGATGATCTTGGAAGACTTCTCAAAGGTAGTGCCTGATCAGTGTAGGATTATGTTGACATGTAAAAGGAGGCTGGGTTTGGCTCTCTTTTTGGTTTGGAGGTGGTTGGCTGCAGTTAACCTCTCTGTACAAGCATATCCTTTGAGGAGTCTAGGAAGTGAAAGAAGTCAGCTTGGATATGAGACAGGAGAGGAAGCAACAAAAGATGCAAAGAGATGTGGACAAAGAACGGGGATAGAAGGGAGGATATATTTGCAATAGGCCTTTCTGGATAGACCTGATGGGAAGAGGGTTACAGGGAATCATGTTGAAAGAAAGAAAATGTGCAGATGGGAAATGTACCCTTCTTTTCACTATTCTCCTCTTATTACAATACTAAAATTCATTACTATTTGTATTAATTTTTCCTGTAAGCCTTTGCTTCTATACTTTTCTGAAGTATAGAAGTTTTTTATTAATGGACTTTATTTAGCTCTTTAAAGTCAAATCTTTAAAATTTAACTTGCATTTAATATCTTAACATCTAAGTTAACATTTTAAGTTCTGAGTGACTGACTTGTATTATTGTAATAGGAACATTACAAACTTCATACTTTCCTTTTATAGATAACACCCTTACTTTTCAAGCATGTTTTGGCAGTCAAAGATGGACAAGACACCACAGCACTGAAAGCAGAGATTGCTGAAAAGTTTGGCAAATTTGAAGAGGTAAGAGTTTTTCATGATAATGAGTAGGTTGTCAACCTTTGTGTGATTTTTTTTCCTTTCATGCTGTGGCCTTTGGAGATAGGTCTCTTCTCATTTAGTTGGTAGCTACAACAAGGAACAATCTTTCAGTTTACTACTCCCAGCCTAGAATGCACAACCAGCACCATTAGAGTAAATGTCAAGTAGCTAAACTAAACTTTATCTCATGAGGAAGACTATGTGGACTTGTGGAGATTTTTGAATTCTAGTTGACTGCTGTTGCCTTGGCTGTCTTTGTTCTGCTTTAAATGTAAGGACACCTTGCAGGATGTGCTAAGAGCAAGGGCTGAGGAGCCAGAGCTTCTGAAGAGCATCTGTTCTGTAGCTCTGCTGAAATCAGTGCAGACATGCTGGTGATGATATAAAGTCTTTTTCATTTTACAGATTACCTTTGCTGGGGGGTGGGGGAAAGAAGCAGAATGTAACCTGTGCCTTGTAGAAATCCAGCCCTGGACCATGTTCTGCCACTCGAGGTGTAAGGCAACTTCAGCAGAGCTCCAGCAGGTGTCAGGTGGCTTTGGTGCTGTATTAATCACTTGACAGTCCATGTCATTAGTGGTTCTTGGCTAGTCTGAACAGCTGTTGGACTTGCCTTTGTCATGAACCCATTCCTTCTGCTTCTTTAGCAGCTACAACTAATGCCTGGCTGGATCAATTAAGAAGAGTTCATAGAGTCATAGAACATGCTGAGTCATTTTCAGGGTAGTCTTGTTTGTCTTATCAGCCTAAGCTTGGAGTAGTGCAGATGACAAATGAGTTCTTGAGGGAAGTCATGTGTGTTTCACTTTCCTTAATGTTTAATAGAGTTGTATTTCAGGGAAGATTAATCTTCCCTTTTGATCAATGCAGTGAAATACTTGCTGTTCCTTCAGTGTCTCTATTTTACTATGCCCTGAAGGATTTTGCAGCAGCAGCTGACAGTCAGCTGAGGATGGGAGGCGGGAACAGAGCCGTGCAAACTTCCCTCAGCCTATTGCAAGTGATATTCCAGAGGGGAAATGTTTCTAAACAGTTCTGTATTTCGATTTCTGCTGCCCAACAGAGGGGGCTGTGCTCCCATCTCTGCACCTGTGCAGTGGCTGGTTGTGCTTTGCTAGACACCTGGAAGTTCAAACAGCTTGATGCTTCCTGAAGGGCTGCTGTGACATTTCTACCAGATCATGGGGGTTAAGGCACAGGGAATAAATGCCATACAAGTATAGAATAGTGGTGAGTGTCCAAAAAGACAAAGATTTTTAAGGTCTCTTGAGTTCCACCTTTAAAATGCCTGAAAACAGAGGGACTAGTCTAATGAAAGAGGAGACCAAGCTCTGGAAGGTCCTTAAAGCATGTTAAACTTGGATGACCATGGCACTTAAAAATGCATTGGAACTGCCAATGTAACGGGAGAACTTGCTGGATTCTTTGTGACCCTGCTTTCTGTGCTGAGCTGTGAGGATCTCTTTCTGGTGTAACTTACACTTGCTTCCTGTTCCCTTTGCACCTGGAATGAAATGCACTTCAATATGTAATGTTAGAAATGTTTCCCTAACACCACTTGGCCTCAACTGCCGTGGGAAAAGAGTCCCTTCTAAAATAGTACTCTTACTTACCTGGATGTTAAATTTAGCTGGATTTATTGCTCAAGAAATGCATGTGTGTTATGTTTGATTAGTCTGTGCCATTAATGACTTTTGAAAAGTAAGAAATCACAAACTGACAGATTCTGAGAACTAAGTTCCTCTGTTTGTGCACATGCTGCAGATTGCTAGTGATTCATATTTTGTGACAGTTTTTGAATCTATGGAAAAGAGTTGGACTGTGAAATAGCAACCGTAGTATTAAGCTTAACTGTACTCTGCCAATATTGCATGCACAAGAGAAATACAGTGTATCCCTTATTTGCTGTCTGATTCCTACAGTCTCCCTGCATCTCCCTATGAAGTGGGCTTTTTGATATTGTTCTGTTGTACTTTTTCTTCTGGGGACAATTGACATTTCTGGCCTTTCACAGATTCTGTCCAAACGCAACACTGTGTTTTTTGGTGGGAACTCCATCTCTATGCTTGACTACATGATCTGGCCGTGGTTTGAACGCCTGGAAGCATTCCAGCTGAAAGAGTGAGTACCTTGCCTAGCTTCTAGTGAGTTCTGAAGTGCCTCAGTATACATATTCTTTGCATACATGCAGCAATGAGACACTCATGGGGGCTGTTGAAGAGGGCTTGTATTATGTTGCAGTTAAGGGGAAGCATCTTACAAAAAAAAAAGATGAGTTGTTCAAGGATCTTCTATAAATAGGCTTTCTTTCACCAGCTGTGCTTTCCTACCAAATAATTGTGACAGACCTGGAAGAAGTGGTTGAAATACAAGACTTTATCTCCATCCCTAGTATCATAGATGAAAATAGTCTTTATTTGAAGGGGATGGAGATATGGCAGCCTAAGTACAAATTTCTTTATCCAAAACCTCAGACTACGCACATGAGGTGGGTTTTTTTTGTTGTTGTTGGTTATAGTTTGTTTTTAATATCTGTGGGTTTGTGGATTTAATCTGTTAGTCAGATCCTCAATTTCTTCAATAGACTGTCTGTTTTGAGCTGCTGGGTTGCAGGGTTGTACAAACTGCACAGCTTTTCTTGGTATTCAAGAAGGCTCAGAGGTTCATGGGTTGTGGGGAGGAATTCAACCACTGCACACAGCATTTGCCTCAAGAGGCATTGTGAACAAAGCATTCCAGAGGGAGGCAGTGGAGCACAAGCCTCTGCCCTCAGCTCAGGGCAGATGATATACAAGAGCTGTGTGTTTTGCAGCAGGGATAACAGGAAGCAAAAACATGGTGATACCTTGCACAATAAGTGCTCTATTGTGTTTTTGCTGGGCTTTGCAGAGCCCACAAGCTCCATAAGAACTCTTCCATATTCCAGATGCTAGTTTGTCTTCTATGGCCTGATATTTATTCCTGTCACCTGCTCTAAGCTGAATATTGTACTGGGAGGGAGAAAGTAGTAAAATGGAATTGTTGAAGCTGTTTTCTTTCCTTTATGCCCTCCAAGTTTTCCATTTGTGTAACTCAGTCTCTTCCCTTTTCCTGTAGCACTTTGAATCACGCACCAAAGCTCCAACGCTGGATGGAGGCCATGAAGGAGGACCCTGCTGTCAAGGCTACAATGACTGACACACAGACATTCAAGAACTACCTCCAGCTGTATTTGGTGAACAGCCCTGAGGCATGTGATTATGGGCTCTGAGGTGCCAGTAGGCATGAGCTTGCTGAAGTGTCAGTGCTGTTTTTCAGTGTGGGGACTTAGTGTAATTTGATGTGGGCTCTTCTGTGGTTGCATTTCATGACTGGGAATAAATCTGTGCTGAAAAACTGAGAAACCTGCTGTGAACTCCACTTCTTCCTGTCATGAGGAGGATGTGCTGGCTTGAAGCAGGAAATGGAAAGTCATTGCCAGCCATATATATTGCATAAGGGAAGATGTTGTTACTCAGAGATGATGGTCTGTAATCTCTGGCCTCTTTGTAGGCATTGCTGGTGGGCAGTCCCCGAACTGATGCTGTTAACGTGATTTAAAAATTGTAATACTGGTGTCCTGAAAATGAATAAAAAGCAAACAATGTCTTTAAAGAGTTTTTCCTTCCACTTTCTGGGCAGCTGTTGGTCACTGGTCATGCAGAGAGAGAGGAGCAGTGCACTGTAAAGGCTAAAACAGATAGTGTGGCTTGTGAAGTTGTTACCTAGTACAAACTGTCTCTTTAGACAGAGCTACTGCCAAACCACTGACCTCGCAGCCCTGTTCACTTATCCCTGCTGAAGTCATGTTCACAGGGACCATCTAATAAAATTCCAGTTTGGGGTAGATATGCTAAGGGAGAGTGTATGGTTGTAATCCTTCTCTGTCCTTCTGAAGTTGGGTAGTGTTTATTCTAGGTTCTAATCTAAGGGCTGGAGTAGGGAGTAAAGCCAACAGAAACCATATCCTGAGCAGAAGGACATTTATTTTTTTGTTCTGCTCCAGAACTCAAAGCATTGCTGTATTTGCCAAGGTGTAGATGAAATCAGAGAACAGAAGTAGAAGGAGTTCAGTCAGAGCATTATGTACTGGTGGAGTCTTGCTGCTTGATGAAGAAATGAATACATTCTGTTCCATCAGGTAAATTGCAGGATCAGAGCTTTTCAGTTGAACATCTTTTGAAGGTATCCTCTGTACTAACATAGCTGTGTGGGGACAAGATTGTTTGAATCAGAAGTAATCACAGGAAAAACTTCTGTTCCTTTTTTTGCCTTTTATCCTTTTTTTCCTGTCCACATAGGGGATTAAAAGATCTATTACGCCTTCTGATGTTGCTCAACTGTGTATGTCCGTCAGACTACTAGCAACCCAAACTAGCCAAAATTCCAGAGAATAAGCATGCAGATAAATATAAGGCAAAGCAGCGTGTCCAGGGGCAGGGCTGTGGTTCCTGTGGTGCTGAGATACCCAAGACTGCTCCTATCTCTCCCATTGCAGTGAGGTAAGGTAGCATAACAGAAGGTAGTGGTTCATGGATTTCATGGTAATTGAGGCACTGGGAGTCTTGGAGCTTTTCTGGAGAAAAGGTGGAGTAATCTTTTTTTTTTCCATTAACATGTTCTAGCCCAGCACACTAAGGAGGTGCATGCTTGTGTAACTTCAAGTAGGAAAGCAGATATGAAAGGCAGATTTGATGAGGTAAAAGAATCAGTAGGAGCTTGGTTTGTCAGCCTGCAGCTGTTGGAGGGGCTTGTTTATGCTCTTATTAGCTTTAATTCAAACTATGTGACTTTTTCTCTCCTGTTTATCTTTGTGACTTTTAAGCACATCTGGCACTACTTAGAGAAATAATTATCACTCTGCTATTCCTTCCAGAATGCCAATGTCTTCTAAAAAGTTTCCCAGTTGGAATGTGATGGTATTACGTGTTCTGTGGATTGTCATTAGAGAACCCAGAGGAAGCATAAAGCTGTGAAGTGTGTTGTCAGGATGTGGATCTGGGCCTTTTCATTAGATGAAAGCAGGGTCTGAGCTTTATAAAACCACTGTCTCTGAAGTAGTGGTGGTGGGATCTCAGTGGCAAACTTCCAAGGATTAACTGCAGAACATTTTGGTTTTATTAGCTGCTCTGCTTTGTGTAGGGCTTAAGAGCTGTTAGTATTGTGCTAGAAATATGTAACAGTTTGCTCCAGTGTGTAATTGGACTAGCAGGAGATGTGACATTAGGGAGATCCAATAATAGGTTAAGAGCAGAGACTGGCATCCAAAAACTGAACTGACTAGGGCCAGACCATGGTAACCCGGAGACTGTGTTGTCCAAACAGAAAGATGTGCTCTTCCCATCTTTATTTAGTGGCTAAAGGGTACCATTATAAATGTGCTACCTCAGCAAAAAAAGTTAAAATGAAATATTCTGCCTTATAATTTGCTATTAAATATCTGTGTTCTAAACCCTCAGGCAGACAGCTGGGGTCTTGAACTCATTACAGCACAGCAAGAAATGCAGGCCTCAGGCAAAGTGTTTTTAATGTGGTAATGAATATGCAACAGTTTGGCCCAGTTTTCAAAGGAAAACACAAGTTATGTGGAATGGACTGGCTCTCTCCTTTCAGTGGATGGGTGTAAAGGAGACACTGTATTAATTTGAAGAGGCCAAGAAAAGAAAACACAAATCTTCAGTTCTGGTCAACAGAAGAGAAAGATGAAAGTCAATAAGGGAAGGGTCAAGCAGATGAACAGCTGTGCCCTTTGCTCAGACCTCTCCTTAAAATCTTCTGTGGATCAGATTATACAGCAAGTACAGTCTTTACTCACCATCTACTCCATATTTTGCCCTTAAAAGATGTTACTGGTGCTATTGCTTTTGAAAAGAGTTTTGGTTTTGTTTGGTTGGGGGTTTTTGTTTGTTTGGTTTTGTCGGGTTTTTGTTTATTTGTTTTTTGTTCCCTGTTATTCGGTCACCAAATATAACTGCTCTCAGCACAGGTTAAAGGAGATAAATTCACTGTCAAGCAAAAAGAACAGAGTTTGTCTTGTAAAAATAGTGAGTTTAGTACCATGATGGATAATAGATACTTCAGATTAGCATGGCATTGAGCCTTGTTCTGTTCTGCATTTATAACATCTCTGTATCTTTACTGATGTCCCTGAGATGGTTTTTGGTACCCTAATGGAAGACATGGTCCAGCCTTTCTTTTTTCATTATAATTTTAGGAGCCCTTATATTGAAGCTGAGAGCAAGATAGAAGGCAACCAAGATGAAGGGAGGGAGGAATGGGGATCCCAGGCTCTCAAATCTGGGAAGTTTTGCAGTTTAGGGTAAACTGAGTGGGGACTTGGGTGAATAGGACTGTGGCAATTTCCTCTTGCTTGGGGAAATTGTTGAGAAGCTTCTGTCCAGGGAGGTGTTAGAAACCTCTGTGGTTCTTGTACTTAAAGTGGTAGTAAGTGGAGATGGTGGTAGGAAACATCTCAAATGTCACATACTAGGGACACCTGAAGCACTTGTGTGAATTCTATACAGATGCCTGTAGATTTGTTACTTTTTCTAATCAATTAAAAAAGAAGAGAAAAGGAAATCTCAGCTTCTTGCTGTGCCTCATTTAACAGCTGTCTGTCCAGCTCACCAGAGGTGCCTGACTGTGTGTGAGCACATGTGTTGGGCATGTGGTGTTGGCACAGTGTTAGATGTCCTGGGCCTGCTCTCCCAAGTTTTCCTCTGTCGTGGCATCTGTAATGTTTCCCCTGCATTAGCATGTTTGGAGAACTGTCTGTTTCTTATCCTTTTTTCTTTACTAGTAGCTCAATTATTTCAGCACTCTGTTCCTTGGACATGGATTTCAGGTGGGAATTGCTGATGCAAATCCAGTCTCTTTACAGTTGTGAGGTCAAGTGCAATTTTTACTAAATCATCCTCAATTTCTATAAGATGGAAACAGTCTTTTCTACTGCTGGTCCAAAGCCAACAGGGACGGCAGCTTCTGCTTTATCTGAGTAAATTAGTGATGCCATGTGATGTTGTTAGATACTAAACCACTTTGACTTACTAAAACATGAGTTTTAAAACTTGTCAGCGAGATGCAGCTGTGTTTGGGGTGGTGTGTGACATCTGTTCAGCAGTCTGCAATAGCACTGTATCTGAGTCCAGGAGGGAGAGAGAATGCAGCTGGTATTAAGGGACAGATGTACTGAGCCTGTTTTGTGCCTCTCACAGCATCTTGTGATGCACAGGAGGCATATTGTGAGAATTACAGCACGTGCTGCAGGTTTGCATCTTAGAAACGCCACTCTTGGCAAAGATGATGGAAAAAGCCATCTCTCCAGGGGAAAGGGAGCCAAGAATAGGGGCACTGAACAGCCACAAGCTGGGTAGGGAGCAGACAGTGTTTCCTGTAAGCTGCAAACCATTTGCATGAGTCACCTATGTGGCTGCACAGCAAATGCACAGGAAGGCTGAGGAAAATGGAGGAGAAAAGCTGTCAGCTTCAGACTGCCTGAAGAATCAGTGAGGACCAACAGCAATGTTATGGCTTAATGCTGTCCTTCCCACAGGTCTCTGCAGCATTCCCATTACCTCAAAAGGTGCTTTTGTGCCTTTCCTCCTGTCACTCAAACCATCCTCAGAAGGGAGCTCTCAACAATAAGTGCTCTGGGCCACTTCACAGGTTGGAGTTTGGCTGTTTTTTCCCCCTCTACGTTCATCACACAGCTCTTTTCTGTGCCTGTTTAGGCTTGGAAGCAGAGCTTGTCCCCTCTTCCTTCTAATAATAAAGCCATGGTGATTAATTAGCTGTTCTTTGTGGGAAGACAGCTCTGATGTAACCTGTGTATTCAAACCCACAGATTTGCTGCCTCTCAATTCCTCTCAATTTGCTTTATGCATCTTGGCTGTTCTCTGCTGGTGTATCTCTGCTCTGTATCTCTTTCCAAGCCCTAAAGCTTTGCCAGGTGTGGCTTTGGCAGGACAGTCAGTGTGGGACCATTGGTAGAAAGCTGCATGTTGGACAAGCCTTGCTTTTTCCTCTAGTTTTGCATACAGGAGCTTCATAGCACTGACATGATGTGATACCCCTGAAGGTGAACTGAACTGGCAGGAATATCCTGCTCACAGGCAGAACACCTCTGTTCTGTGGGAACGCCCGTGTGACGGAGGCCAGGCAGGGCTCTGTGCTTACAGGCACAAGAACCGCCCAGGGCTGCCCTGCTCTGCCCTGCCTGGTGTAGGCTGGCAGGGATGAGACCTGGAACATGCTAGCAAGCAAAATACCACCTCCCTGACGATCTGGGAAATCCCTGTGTGCTGTTTGATTCCCAGCAGAGGGCTAGAGAGCAAGATGGAAGGTCAGGAGCCATAGAATGAATTTC